ATATGATCATTGCTGGTGGCAAGGAGAAAATTCTGTGATAAAGTTTCTAGTTAATTATACAAGCACGAGGGGGGCATTGGGATTTTCGGTTTTGCGGTTTTGGCTATTTTTTAGATCGGTTTTTCGGTTTTTGTTGCAAAAGACTTTAAAAGGTTTAATTAAAAAATTTATTCTTTACATTCTTTCAGCGATTTTTCATTCATATTCTTGTTTCCTTAGAAAAAGCAGTATCCTTATGGATATTAAAGCGATTGTCAAAGCTGATCCTTCTGCTCTTTTTATGCAAAAAATTTCTGAACGGTTATATCCCCTTACCGATATACCATGAATAGGACTAGTCACCGTGTGCAAAGGTGAACGGTTTCTTGTTCGTTTAAGGTGAATACAAAATAAATTTTAGGTCCAGAGCCTAAATGTCCAGCTCCTTTTAAATACTGACTATTAACTTGAAACAATAAACTTTACAACACAAATCTTGACCTCGCTTCCATACTAAACTTTGATATAAGGGTACGAACCGACCTAGGTAAATAACATAGGGCGCTTACCATTCAACAAAAATTCCGGTTTGAAATTTCGGAAACTTCACGTGCTCAATGGAACGGTACGTTCCGGTTGCACAGACCCGACCCAAGCCACCGCGCGTTTTGTTATTGTGGCTTCGCAGCACACTCACAATTACGCTCTAAAAGAGAAAAGTAAATACCGTTTATGTAAGAGATAAAACCCGAGAACGGATGTATATGGATTAATACCGACTTTCGAGGGGTTTATCTAACTTATTTCATGATATTATTCATGAGGTATAGGTTACATAAAGGTTGTCTTTCACAGGGCAATAATTGGCCACTTGTTTTTGATATCTGTTTGTTTGTCATTTTTTGATCCGACCGCAGACAATGACGTATTTCATGGTAAGTATTGTAAAGGCTATCACACAGCATCGAGAAAGGGCGTTTCACGGATCATAATTTGTTCAAACCACTTGTTCTCACTTAGGTGAGAAACGGAGAACAATAGCGCATTGTTTGTTTGCTAAGCCGACAACAATCAAATTTCAAACCTTTTGTGTTTTTTTTTTATTTTTGTCTTGGTATTTTTTGGGGGGCCAGTACACTTGTGAGAGCGGCAATGGATAGTGACGACGAAATTTTCTTAACGCAAAATACTTTCTCTCAAGAGCCTTTTTCCCCTGAGTTGAATTTGGAAGAGTTAGTGGGAGACTTTAGAGAAGTAAGCGAACGAGATAGTGTTGAAGCACAGGTAGCCCAAGCTCACTATGAGAGCCCTGAACAACATTATCCCACTTAGCTAATTAATTATTCATACAGCAAGAAAATTATAAGACGTTGTATGGAGAAATATTCTTTGCTCACTAAATTAGCAAAATGTACATTGAATATCGCTTTGAAGCTTACCTTTAGCGTCTTCTTGTTTTTCTTTGTATTCTGACTGCATTTCAGACCTCCTAAGCACTGTTTAAGGCCTTTTTTTTTGCGACAGTTTTTCACCCAGATGACAGTAGAGAGAAGAGAAGAGAAGGTTGGCAAACCTCTCTTGACCGGCTCCGCTCTCGGCGGCGATAAATTCCGTGACATTTGCGACATGGAGACAATTCCGCCAGAAACAGATGTCCTGATAAATAACGCACATTTTCCATCATTCACATCGCCAAAATTCCCATTTCGAAGGTCCTAAATGGCCAACGAAGTGGGCAATACACGGCTGAGGTGAGGCGAGTCGAGAGCAGACCCGCAACCGGTCAGTATAAAACACGGACTGCGGACTGCGGACTACGGACTGCGGACTGGGTATAAAATACGGACTAGGTATAAAACGCGGACTAGAAAATACGGACTGGGTATAAAACACGGACAAGGTATAAAACGTGGACTGCGGACTGCGGACTGGGTATAAAATACGGACTACGGACTACTTTGGTAAAAACCGTGCAAATTGGTTCTAGGTAAGGAAAAATAAGATCAAAAGATCGCTAAATAGCAAGACACGTGAGTTAAAGTTGTAAATACTCCTATAAATTCTTGGTGGAGGTGTCCCGCCTCGTTCTCTGAATCATGAGCCGGATCAAAATGCTATTTTCTTCGCCCATTTTTAGACCTTGTTTTGGTCTCTAACAATCATGAAAGGGGTCAGGATCAGGGGTGGTACTCCCTTTTATAATGGAAGGGTGGGGGTTTGGGCCTTTTTGGTCTGAAAACACTTTGCCCATTTTGGTGTGGAATCGGGTATGGTTTTCGAGGGAACTACGGGAGCGCACATGAATGGACGTATTAATCGTTTCAATTCCAAATGAATAAGAACGAAATAGAAATGTGCGAATTCGAAATGCATTTGGAGAATTTTTTTTGTTTCCGCTCGAACTTGGTAATGATGACAAAATTTCTGCTTAATTAGACCTAACCTGTTCAAGGCTCTGAGATAGTTGGGTCCGCTGAATTGAAAAAGCGAAAACACGAAAATAAAACGGGAAAAAAACTGGGGAGTCTCCCCAACTATCTGAGAACCTGGAACAGGCTAAATTATGCCAGGTCCGAAAATGGGTATGGATTTTAGAGATCTAGTCTGAAAACGGGTGTGGAAAATGACAATTTTTTGGTCTGCAATAAAGTCAGGATTCGGAGAACCAGGTACTACACCCCCACAAAGAATTCCCAGTAGTACCCCCCTCCGGGGATCAGAAGCAGGGTGTAAATCATGTCATCATAATCATCGCTTAGAATATCACGTTGGATGACTCATTTCGGTTATTATTCACGTATGTGAGTAATCCCTCCCACCTAAATACTGCTTTTGTGCACCGCGGAAGGCACAACATTAACCTTCTCGTCTTGGTTCTTCATTCAGTCCTCGTATTCCCAAGGCTTTATTTGAAACGGAATTGTGGCATCAGATAAGTATTTTACTGATCAGACTAACACCAATACTATTTTTTTTAACTCGGTGCTTCTTAAGGGTTTAAAACTGCAAATTGAAATCTCTTCAAACTCCTATTCTTTTTATAAAATTCAGAGTTTAATTTCAGTTGCCTTGAGTACCGGCATAACCTTCCTTCTCCGTGGGAAGAATAGACTACGTGAACAGCCAAGGGAATGTTAAAGCTAGGAGTACTGTTTTTGCTAGTCCGCTTTCCATTTCTCTCAGTTTTACCTTCTAAAGCTGTTTTTATATACATAGTCCGTAGTCCGTAGTCTGCGTTTTATACCTTGTCCGTGTTTTATACTCAGTCCGGAGTCCGCATTTTATACCTAGTCCGTGTTTTATACCCAGTCCGCAGTCCGTGGTCCGCAGTCCGCAGTCCATGTTTTATACTGACCGGACCCGCAACGGACTCCAACCGTCACGTCGACAATTCAAACCGTCGCGGGCTGGCAGGGTCAAATTGTTCAACCGTCAAAGGACAATTGGAGCATTTAGCCTACTGGGCACAGTAACTGATTTTTCACTTCTCACATTGCACTGCGGGGTCGCGGAAGTCAAGCATCGCGTGTGATAGTGACATGAAATATCAAAACATGTCGCGTTGTTAATGTTTTGATCCTGTCCCCAAACTTGCTAGTTACTGCCACTTGTTGAAAAAGGGAGGAAAAATAGCTAACAACTGTTTACAGCCGTAGTAATTCTTATTGCAAAATTTTTTTGTAAATCATACATAAAAAACCATTGTCAAACGCTTTTTAAAAAGAAGAGTAGAGATCAAAACATTAACAACGCGACATGTTTTGATATTAAAAAAAAACTCTAACATGGTCTTAATAAAAGCGAAGTAGACCGGCTTTAACATACACGAGCTACTATCAAATTTCATCTCCCCACTTGACCTGGACAACAGCGCGCGTATATGTAGTGCCTGGAGGATTGCGCTGGCCTCATCAAAGTCTAAAACAAAGTGCAAAAACGTTTGTTGATGCAAGTAAACACTTTCAATTTTCTTTGTTTTGAAATCGGAAAGGAAGAGAAATATTAAAAAAAAACATAGCAAATTTCAGCGAGTGGGTTCGAAGTGCGCGAAAGCCGATGTTCAGTTCAGCAGTGAATTAATATATGTTCTACAATTTTCCAAGCACTTTAAAGCTACAAAATTAAGAGCACAGGAGACGCAGATTAGTCACCTGGTGAGATGTTGGTGGTAGTCACTCTGTATGTCTCGAACAATAAAAAAAATGAATATCAATGAGACACAGTCAAAACTGCATTCAATAGGACCGAAATTAAAGTCCAATCTTGTGACCGATTTTGATGAAACAAACGGTTAGGTTTCCCAAGAAGTACAGTAAACATGTGATGCCGACCAAAAGTTAAAAATCATTAGAACATTTAAGTTCTGGCTAAAAGCAAATTCCTGTAAAAGATGCGTTACAATGTTAGTCCACGCAAAAACAAGAAGTTCTACAATTTTCCTATAAACAAACTTTGTATCGCTAAAATACTTAAGGCAAAAACTTTCTATTCCAACTGAAAACGGCGTGGTAGTCGCCCGCTGATCGTTATTAATCCACTCCCGAAATATGGCTAAATCAGCTATTAACAAATAATTGACAGAAATCCTCTACGGCATCGAGAAACTGATTTACATCCGATTTATAGACAAACACTAAATAAAGAACATTTTGCTCAGTAGCTACGCATCAGCAATGCATTCTATGCCAAACTTTGCGGTTCTTAAAGGGGAATCAAGACACGAGTCGAGCGCCAAACAACAACAAGCAGCCATGTTCGTGTCAGACATCCTTGAATAACTTGCTCTTTCACCTCGTTCAGCGCATCAGTCTCCACTTTAAACTTTACTTATTTTTATCTTTACTTATTTTGTACAACGAAGGTCTTTCCTAAGTTCCTGCTACCATTTCAATCTCAAGCAAGCTTTCAAAGTGAACAATTTGGTCCTATGACTATGCAGCACGGTCGCTGTCACTGGTCGCGTGCTCTTTGACAAGTCAGCGGTCGCGCATGCTCATGCAAAAAAGACCCCTGTTCTCCCCAAGTAATTCGCAATCCCAAAGCTCCCCTTGTTTTTGCACATGTCTCGGGTCGAGAGTGTATCCAACGACCGCAATACGTTTTGTCATAAACGAGCAGCATTTTCAGTAAGTGAGAAGAACGGCCTCTGTTGTTTCCCGAAGTCCACAAAAGGCTATTTCCACGCTGTTGACATATTACCACAACTTTTTCTTCATCCAAATTCGATCCAAGTTTTTGTTTCTTGTGCCCGAAAATCAGGGCGAATTACGTCAAACAGAAATAGACAAAAAAAATCTTGGTAGCTGCTGTAAAAATGTCCAACATTCAAAGATGATTCTTGAACAACTGTGGCTGAGCTTTGATAATCACATCCAGCTTTCAAGAACACTGTTATATTCCTCAGGCAAAATAAAGGGTTGGTCAATGGTCCTGAAACGAGAGGAAGACATACATCACAAACTTGAGGATCACAAGTTCATAATTGTTTTTTATTTTTCGCTGGAACGTATCACCCTCGTTATATAAAGTTTGATTGATTGATTGATTGATTGGTTGGTTGATTGAAAATAAACGTTACTTGACCTTCATAGTTATGCCACACTGGTACCTACATGTATTCCTAGGTTCTTATTCAGTGAAAACATGGTCAGAAAGGGAAGGCTTTTCTCTCGCGTCGTTTAGGATTAAGGAAAAACCTTGCCCGCTATCTAAATGTGTGATTCCCATTTTCGGATGCAACCTTAAACCATAAAGACTAGAAATGGCTGTGCTCTTCAATCTTTCGTTTTCTGGCCCCGCGAAACGAAGAAAGGGAAGAGAAAAGGTGTTGCTGTTAAGAAAAAAACTATGCATCTTTGATCTCATAAGTTTTCAGTATTTTCTTGTAGATGTGTGGAAATCATTTATTATGTTCAACGAGCTTACACAAATCCTCTGGCACAGTCGACTGGTGTAACGATGTTAGGATTCCCTTACCTGATCATAATTTCCCCGCAATAAAGACATTCAGATGCTATTAGGTCATCCAGTTCATTCTAAAAATAGATAACAAACTAAGTTTAGTCAGCGTTATATGTAACTGACCCATCTAATAAATGCGTAACACAGGTCTCTGCAAGATAAATTGACTACTCGAACTGCAGTCAACAAAAGACAACTCCGTAAACTCTGTTCTTTGGTCATTTATTTGTTGTCCATCACGCGGACACCCCTGTCAGACACCCCCACCCATTGACTTTTCGAGGAAGAGAGCTTGGGTTGTTTGGTACCCGAGAGACTTGTTCTCGTTAGCTCATTGAGCCCTCGACAAGATAAGGTGGTATTTCATCGATGATCATTTCGTGCAATAGCAATGTTCTAAATACCTCAATATTTGGAAACCTTAAACAGACAGGAAAAACCCATTAATTCGTTCCTAGTATCTCAGTTTCAGGAGAAATCTCAGGAATAAGAAAAATAATAATTATAAACTTGAAAAAAACTCGGTATGCATATAGGATTTATCTTACCTTGAGAGACTCTCTTGATGCTGGTGTAGCTGTGGCGGAGTCAGATCTTGGTGTCCTGTACAGCTGATTAAACAGATCTTGAACCTTTGCTCTGCAAATTCAAGATGCATTTAAGATAAATGGCGGTAAAATGACCAGCATAAAAGGACACATTTACTTGTCATTTTAATAAATTCGAGCTCATGGAACTAATGATTTCTGTGCTTCGCAGACGGAGAAACAAGAATTTAATTGTAATCTACGAGAAGGCCAGAGATACAGAATCAGTGAAATTCCAGATGCTGGTCTGACCAGCTGACTACTGAGCTACGAAGGCTGAGCTGGGCCATATAACCGATTCATAAATGAGACACTTGTTAGAAAGCTGGATAGGACTATTCGCAGGATAAATCACTACCCATTGATTACGTATTAGGAAAAACCAATTACCAGTTAGCTCAATTGGTAAGAGCGCTGCACCAGTATCGCAGAGGCATTCGAATCCCGTACAAGCCTGAATTTTTTTCAGGATTTCTTCTCGCAACTGCAAAAGTTGCTTCCATAACTGCGATGATCTACTATTTCATATAATTTTTCAACCCACAGTTCACATTTCATATATTCATAACTTCATCACTTTCCTTTCACGGGTTTATAACGAACCAATTAAACGACAACCAGGGCAAGAAAGGTAGAGAGCAGCATAGAGAAAAAACGATAACAGAAAAATTTATACCTTTGTTTCTCTTTAAGATTGGGTAAAATCTGAAAAAAAGAAGGAGACAAAATAAAAACAAAATTACACACACCATTTTTTGAAAAATAAATTGTAAATATAAACTTTTAAATAATCATAAAAATAATCTTAACAGTCGCACCTCATTTTTTAGACAATCGCAGTGAAAAGCATGGTGACATGGGAAGACATAGAAGCCTCTTGTGAGAAGAGGATATGAGCAGATGGAACATTTTTCTTGAGCAGGAACTATACTGTATCTGAAATAAAAAGCCAAAGAGAAAAGAATACTTTAAGATACAGCTCTCCAATACTCTTGATAGTTTAGCTGGTACAAAAAGTTCTATAAACGGGCAATAATATGTGGAGCCCCCTTGGCGTACTCCCTATATACCTTTAATGAGCCGAGTTTTCGGTCCGTACTGTAAACTACGGACCGAGTTTTTTTCCATCGATTTATGGCCCGCGCGCTTTGCGCTTGGGCCATAAATCGATGGAAAAAAACGAGGATAATAAGATGTTTATTATATGGCTTCTTCCTGTTTGGGGACCGGAAACAAGTGCAGGACGCACGATTTCACAGTCATTTGACAGGCGTCAAAAAAGAAAGTTTTTATTGGCGCACGAAAACAATAGCACATAGCAAAGGCTTTCCGAGAAAGTAAAAACAAATTCGCCATGTTGAAAACGTTTATTCGGTCAAAACTAAGAGCACTGTAAGATTTAGCTCTTTAATGTAACGCTGGAGTATTTTGGAAACCGGACACTGTGTCTGTCTAGAAGTCCTTTTTGTCTTTCCTCTGTTTGTCCTTGTAAAAAAACACAGCAAAAGGCAAAGAAGCTTTTCAAGGTAAGTTTGTTGTCATTGTTGAAGGATTCGCTCGTTAATTGTTTTTGGGAAAACCTCTCTTTCTGCCAGTTCATTCTCGTCTTCAATTGTGATCTGCGTTAAAATTTTCAAACACTGACTAGCATTCTCTTCCTCGGTAAGGTTACGATCCAGTTTCTACATCAGCTTCGTTCTAATTAAAAAAAATTAGGTTAAAATTTGGAAACGCAAAGTTAACATCGCAGTCCTCAGGGTTTACAGTCAAAACTAAGAGCACTGTTAAGTATTCACTCGTTAATGTGACGCTGGAGTCATTTGAAAACTGCACATGTCTGGCTCGAACTTGCTTCTATCTTTCTCTCGTAGGTCTTTTTAAAAACACTGCAAATGCCAAAGAAGCTTGTCAAGATGATCGGATGCAGGTATGTTTGTTATCATATTTGTCGAAGGAATTACTCATTTTCTCTCCGGCAAAACATCTCGAATCTCTGCCAGTCGATTTTCGTCTTCTTAACTGTGCACTGCGATAAAATTTTCAAACACTGACTAGAATCCTCTTCGACAAGATTACGAGTTAGTTTATTCTTCATCGCCTTCGTTCACAAATAAACAGAGTTTAAAATGTTGAAGGCCAAAGTCAACATCCAAGTCCTAAAGGTTGACAGGCGTCTTACATCTTTATTTAAGCCTTTTTTCCGAGGTAAAGAGATTTAGAGCTCCGAAATGAGCATTTTCTTTAAAAATTTTGGTCCGTATAGCAAGTTACGGACCGCAAATTGACCAATCGCATGGCGAAAACAGACTCAGCCATATAATAAAATAGCTTATACAGGGAGGTGCCGCCCCAAGGGGATAGCTTTTTCAGGCTTCGGGTATATGAAAGGGTAGGGATATCAATAGATAAAGTATATAAAAGGATAGGGAAATCTGTCATTGCGGTCTGTGAGAGGACTTAAAAGGGCTAACAGACTCATTTTATGGTTGTGAAAAAGAAAAGACTGGGAACTTCCTCCTTCAGTTATTTACAACAGCTAAAATGGATCCTAGGGGGTAACATTTTAATTGAACTCACTTGTTTCTCATTTCGTGGATGCCAGCTCTTATTGTTCTAGCACTTTCTGTTGCTTCCTAGGAAAAGAAATTGAAAGTTTCTTTTCACAAATTATCCACATTGTTATAAATAGGGACATTTTATTATAAGCACTACAAAAATGTCGCTCGTCAGTAACACATTCCCTTTCTTTTTCTCTTCTTTTTTTCATTATTCAGCGATTGTTACTTGTATGGCAAGAAACAGTCTGCCTGACGTCAACTAAAATTGATTGTGCATAACAAAATAAGGTATTTTAACGTTGAAATTATCTGACCTGGATGACTGCAACTTTAACGAGTTGAAAAGAGGAGGTGCTGTTCAAAAAAGGTGGACTAAAAGTGAACCAAAGGTTGTCAAAACATACAATAATTTACCTGCATTTCGCTTTTAAGCTCTTCAATGTGTTGGTTATATTCATGAAGGGATGAGCAAATAGCATCCTGACGAGGAAAATATAGTACCATATGTTAGCAACAAAGTACACTTTGACAAAACATTGTTAATAACAGCGGGCAGGCAAGGTTGCAACATTCTCACCATCTTCAAGTTTGTGCAAGCAGAATGAAGCCAGTTAATAACATATTAACTCCAAAAATGAGATACTTAAGTTTAAAACTAAAGACAATCAAATTTTGAACAGCAAAAAGTAAGAGACTTCTTTGTTCACCGATGTTAAAACTACACAGCACCCCACAGCAATAGGAAAGAAAAGTTTACAACACGTTCAGCAAACATTAACGCCTACACAAATCTGGAGTCACCATTATTGCCAAGGACCACTGTCCTTCCTTGCGTGTAAATTCCCAACACAATAAACCATTTCACACCAAATATATGGGGCAAAATGAATAGTACAACAAATTGCGACTGCTGAGGAGGTTTCAATTGAATGACTTCAGCATAAGATTTTATCAACATACTCAAAAGTTCAAATTAAACTTTATGATTTCAGAGTTGACTATGTGAGTGAAAGGATTAACATGAAAAGGGACATCTTTCTCAATGCTTGGCAGATGGATGTGTTTACTGGCAAACAGTTCTTACTTTCGAAGCAAAACTTGAGTGATTGCAACAATGCCAAAGGCAGTTAGCCTAACCTTAAAATGATCGATTGTGACAAAATCTTGGAAGAAGGGAAGAATATCTTCAATCTTGAGTAGTTCACATTGGTTCAGAAATTCCATGGCCCTGGAAAAAAATATATAATCAAAAGCATTAAGTTCATAATTTACAACCGATATATTGAGGAACAATTTCATTTCGAGTGGGTCCCCGAAAATGGTGACAAACCAAACCCTATTGGAAAGCAACTATCTCTCGAAGGAAACAGATTACGAACCCAAATAAATTAAATACGAACCCAAACTGATCAGTACAATTTTCTTGGACAGATTTACACCATCATATTCTAACATTTTGGTTCGCACCATCTCAAGGTTGATCAGTAATCATTTCGGAGGCGATGTACAGAAAGGTCCCGCATGCCATGCACACTCACTATCTCGATTTAGTTTCCTTTCAACAACTACTATCATATTGTTCTCTGTTCAAGTGAAATCTTATCCTTCAACACTTGACAAGGTTATTTAGCAGGAATACCTTACAAAATTTGATCTCTCTAAGTTTTGTACCAGAAAACATTTGACTATAGAGATAACTATAGCTGTAAACTGTTTGAGTGCTGGGGACAGTTGCAAAACACCTTAACTTCTGACCTTACAGTTAAAAGATGCATCTTAATGGCAGACGTGAGAAGTATTTACGTCTGACGTTACCCATTACTTAACTGGCCTTATTTCATCGGGACTTAGTTTGATCATCAGCACAAATGTATTCCTGGACAGGACTCTTGGTCACCGACATTTCGACAAGTTTGCAAAAGTCGCCATCACAATGAACTGACGGTGACGTTTACACAGATGATTTAACGACAATAACTGACAACATGATGCCTTTCAGTAGCACATGTCGTCAAATCGACAATCACCAAGAGTCCTTTTCAGAATACAACTCAAGGGGATGACCATGCTCGAATTTCTACTACGCTGTGTATATAAGACAAGTGAAGTTACTTCTTGACGTCTCTCTCTTCCTCCACCACATGTCTGGCTATTCTCAGCCACAGTTTCTTCCTCAACACTTCATCATCTTCTGGAGGTTTCTGCGCTTGGATTTTAGCAAGGTCTACATCCACCTTGAAATCAAAGAAACAATAAAAATATCACTCTGTTCATAGCGGCTACTACCGATAAGGTAGAGAAGAATACATTACGGAGCTTCAGCAACAAAGACGGCGACGGTTACGGAAACGTCACTTAAAAAGTGAATTCGCACTGCTTCAAACCGTATCACGCTTATTCCATCTCGTTCAGTTCGTCAAATGGTGCCAATATGTTCTGGAGCTGAATTATAAAAGACTGCATAGAAGTTCAGGGAAAGAAAAAGAAAGTCGTGGTCTTGTGTTCACGTCCTCAACAAACCCTGAAATTAGGCAGTTTCAAGTTCAAGTTTTGTATCACCATTATATAAGTTATACAAGAAAAGAACTACAGTCTAAATATTTCTAAATAATAAAGGATAATGGCGAAGAAGCCCAAGGGAAACCACCGGGCTTACAAGGAAAAGGCTCCCTCAAGCAATTATTACAACGAAATATAAACAGAAGGATGCTTGCATGTTTCACGTCGTAGTCGTTTAGTGACGGCAAAGAAATGTACAAAAAAGCGGGATACACGTGCAGAGGTGTTGGTTGTTTACCATTGAAGAGACGTTTTTGCAAAATCCGGTTGGAAAGTAAATGGAAAATGACTTTTTGAGTCATCCCAGTGGAAAATTTCCGAGAGCAACGGAAAATCTCAAAATGTAGTCTGGTTTTTTCGGACGGGATATTCCAAACGCAAATTCGTGTTCCATTTCTTCAGAGCCAACTTTGTTCCCCGTTTCAGGCTTTCGTGGCAGTTTTTCGGTAAATGGAACTGATTTTCTACAAATGGTAAACGCGATTCCTGGAGGAAAGTACCAGTCCTGAATTTTGATTACCATTTACCCAAACTGTGAACCGATCAGTTTGCCCATGTGAGTGGTAAACAACCGTTGTTTTGCCAATCTAAACCTATCGCTATTTTGCTGTTCTCATTGACGTCGCCGAGCAGTCAAGCAGTCAAAAGCAGGAAAAGTTTTTTTCTTCTAGCTTTTTAGTGCAGACCACACAGCATAGCGATGAACCCGGACAGGTCTCGCCAGTTCTATTTGAGATGTTCTCCTTACACATTCCCACAGCCCACAAAAGGCAGAAGTAATGGTCACTGATAGTCCAGAGCTTGTTTAGTCAGACGAGAATTTCTATTGAAGCGGGGAAAGGTGACAGAAGTAAACACTCAAATGATTACAGGAGGGGGTACCTTGAGAGACAGATCAACAGCTTCCTCAAACAGTCCCATGGTGCTGTAGATATGTACACAGGCTTTCTGCTTATTGTGCTCTGAACAGAGTCTGAGAGCGTACTTTAAGTCGTAACACACTTCTTCAGGATCCTGTCAAAAATCATATATTCATTGTGATTCCAATCGCAAGAATACATGGATATTCTTTAATGATCGGCGGCTGACCATGGAAATTTTGTCAAATATAACTAGCTGCTCGTCTTATAACTAAATTCTGACTGTTAATTGGCCAAGCATTAGTAAGATCACTTCAGACTTTCAATAAAAGAGGTTAATGATTGTTACATTAATTACCTTTCTCATTTGCCAGTCTAGCCAGAAATTCGACTGGCCCTATTAAAAACGTAAAATTGTGATGGAGATAATAGAGGCATTTAAGGTAAACGGCCAACGTCAATTTACACTGACACATGACTAAGTTGTCCTATACTTTATTTATTTCATTATTTATTCATCATTTTTTGTCTTTTACTGCTCATTGTATCTACCTAGTTAATACTTCCACCCCATTTTCAAACATAAGAAGTACCTTGGATCTAACGTTGGCTTTTGCCCCAAACGCGATTCTAAAACCCCATTTACACGCGCTAAAAAAATCGGCACGGCACGCCAAATTTCGTTTACCCGTGCCGAGACTACCTCCTGGAGGTAGTCTCGGCACCCCTAAAATTTTGAGTACTGGTGCCACATTACATGTGGGACCGATACGTTTACATGTCGAAAATTGGGAGTGCCGTACCTTAAAATCGTCAGCACGGTGCCAAAAAATTTGGCGTGCCCTGCCGATTTTTTTGGCGCCTGTAAATGAGGTTTAAATCTCTCTAATGACTGCATAGGGACCCCAAAATTGATTGTATAAACGAGAATAAGGAAATGACTGAACCTTTGTTCGGGGTAAGAAAAAAATTCCCGTTAGAGTTCGGTTTGGTCGTGTGGGGCGATTACATTATACTTTGCCTTTGATCCACTGACGGACTCTTCCATCAATACTAACCTGGCCTTGCATCTGCAGGTATCGCAGTAATGACAGATCATCTTCTTGTTCAATGTACAGAGACAGCAGGTAGTTATGAATGGCTTGGTCCCTGTTCCCCAGTCTCTCTATGCAGATTTCTAAGTATCGAATTGCTTCCTCGGTCTACATAATAAACGCAAAGATCAGTACTTCCTACAGAGATGAAAGTAATCTAGTGGAAAGGTACACTGAAAACGTTATTCGGTAATAAAAGCTCTACACTATTCACCGACAACACGAAACTATACATGAAAATTAAAATTGTCTGGCATTCACACTGAACCAGCTTGTATGAAAATTTAATAGTCTGATTCCTTACACTTAAACAGTCACATTCAGGGTTAGATAAGAAAGTAAAAAAGCGCATGCCCTTCTTAGTTGTGGGCAAGTGTTTGCTGGAGATTACTATCTCGGTGCAGTCATGCAAGCCTATCTACCTTCTTTTTCGCCGACATTTACTTTATCTCGGCAAATGTTGGTGGTCCGTCGGACAATTCGTAATTAAAACAAGCTAGTCCAAAGGTTGCTCCACTAGCCGTGCGCTATCGAACAGCATTTTTGTTGCGCCGTACATTTTACAAGCCAGACAACACGGCAAAGATGTTTATGACGGAAAACGGACTAAATGAAAAATTTGTATCTCGACTCAATCAGCCGGCGCTTCCTAGTGATAATTACATGTGTCTTGCTAACCTGTGTTGATTTACCCTGTTGATGGTAGTGAACCAGAGCAGGAATAAGTCTGCGTGGATCTAGCTTCTTCTTCTGTTCAATCCATGCAGTTACTGTTTGACGTGGTATGTGCTGCATCAGTACTGGAGAGAACTTGTAATAAAGCTCTGTATCTGTCTGAAATACACAGAATTTGGAACAAAAGAAGTATTACAACTCTACAGTTGGACGCCTTTTCTCCTCCGTAGAGGTCTCTTTCTGTCATGGCTGGGGACAGGGAAAAAAGAAAGCGCGCGGGGGACTTGATGAAATCCTGATAGATCCACCATTTTGTAAACATCCATGAGATTGTGACCTGCGTAGCTCCTGTCTTCGGGCTGATTTCCACTGACGCGTTTTTGGCTACGCAAGTTAACCCATGTAAATTTTAATCACGTTCGAGGTTCAACTTTTACGCTTACCAGCGACCTTAAATGCTTAGCCTCTATTTCATTTGCGAACGTAAATTTTACGCACGTACGCGAGTAAAAGTAACGCGACACTGGAAATCATCCCTTCCACGAAAATCGGCGCCATCTTGAATGCATTAAAATGGCAGAGGCTCATATATTTTTTTAAAAACTATTTTTTATTGGAATCGTATTGGGATTCTCTGAGAAAGAGAGAGCGTTGGACTGCTGAACTCTGTGTAGCTGGACAACCGGAACCGAGATTGGCTGGGGCTGAATACTTGCCTGCTTCGTGAGGACATCTAGTGCTGCCACAAAGTCATCATGCTGAATGTGATGGCTTATGACATGTTCAAAATCTGAAAAATGTTTAACAGAATATGCTACTGTAGTTACATTGAATAAGATAAAAAAGGAAAAAAAATCGACAAATAGTGATGGTAGAGAGCGGCATCAATTTTGATAGTAAGGGTTCACACCGGTAAGACTGAGAAAGTAAATTTGCTGAATTTAACTCACTGCTGTTCCTATTAAAGATTGCAAAGGCTGATTTCGGCCTGTCTATCACTGACACATTCGCTTGCGGCCCGTGAAACTTATGTCCAGGATTGGACTGTCGCAAAAATTTGCCCATGTGCCACTTTTTTGTTCTTATCTCTATTACTGCACCGGGCAACATGGAATCTATTTGTTAAATAAACTACTGTCATGATGGAATTAGTACAAACCTTGCATAAGCATAGCAAAAAATATTAAGTTTTCTACATCGCCATGGCTGGCAATCAATTCATAAGCTGTCTTTCTGTTCTGATCAAGACAAGTCTGCAATGATAAAAAAAAAGACCTATTAGCGGTGTGATTCGGTAAAGAACAATTTTCCACGTAACATGTCACATATAAATTCAGGCCACATTAAAAGTAGGGCAATAATCAAAAATAAGTATACAAAAGTCAGTTAATCCCCTTCAGTGCAACAATAATCACAAGATCATTTTCCCATTTTGCAGCCCGGCTTAGGATAGGAAAAGGGATCTTGCAACATCACCCGACTCGACAACTTTGCTAAGAATCTCTTCTAGTCTAATTCGGAACTGAAAAAATTAAGGAACTGCAAAGCCAAAAACAAATTGAAGTCAGGGATGTATGGAATACAAAAACTTTGCGAAGACTGTCCATGCAAACTGTGGTGAATAATTTCAGGTTCCTTTGCGCCGTATACTCACCTTAACTTTGGTTTGTGCCAGGAATTTTCTAAACTCGTCTTCTAAGTCTTCATGCTTAGCAATGGCACCTTCTTCTTTGAGTCCACCAAGGTCATTTAGGTAAAGCTCAATCAACCACATTATCAACATGGTCATCTGAGTCTTGTCCTTAATCGCGAAAATAATCATTAAACAGTTATATCAGTAAATACCAAAGAGTATAATGTTTCCTAGATTTTCAGAATGGAGGTATTAAAAGGTTGAAATGAAAATGTACAAAAATGTCATCAGCGTTGACATCAGGATCAACAGCGAAAACTGGACGAAGTTGGCAGTTTTAAGTATCTGAGAGCAGTCGCCACAGTGACATTAGGGTTCCAAGCCTGAAGTACTGTCCAGAATTTGACAGACTACAACAGCACTAGCAAGGCGAAAGAATTAATTTAGAATGCACCAAGCGCGCTTTTTTCTACAAAGGTGCGAAAATTTTTAATAATTTTTAATAATTCTTAGAATTTATAACTGTTCGATCTTTCGTTTGGTGTGACTATTTTGTAATATTGTGATTTGATTTTTATCTATATTTTAAATCTTTTTTATTTTTATTTTTTCATTTTTAATTTTTTACAGGACCTGCATTGATAGCAGTTTTTTTTTCTTAAAACTGAAGCAACAATCCTGCATAAATATGTTTAAGTTATTATTATTATTATTATTAAGGCTGAAGATCATCTGAAACGATAAGCATATCTCTCTTAGCTCAAATATCAGACTCATGCGCTTCCTGGTTGTCTCGGTACTCTTGTACGCTTACGAAACCTGGACACTAACATCGGCTACTCAGAAGAAATTGCCGTCCCCTGAGATATGATGCTTTAGAAAAGTGCCTGGCATCTCATACAAAGACCAAATCGCCAACGACACAGTCAGGGACACAATCAGGCAAGCTATCGGGCCCTATGATGACATCTTATTAAACCACGGTAAAGAAACGCAAGTTGAAGTTGTCTGGGCATGTATCAAGATCAGCAGGGCTTGCAAGACAATTTTTTAAAGTGCAAGGAGGGAGAAGACGAGGAAGAAAAAAGAAGCGTTGGGAAAATAATCTCTGATTGGGTAGGGCTGAGGTTTTGCGACGCACTAAGGGAATCCAAAAAACGGTTGCTAGATTCCTGGCGCCTCAACAGTCATCATGACTTCGGAATAGGTTTAGGTGTAGAAATTTTTTCATTCACTAACTAATGGAGTAGACTTCGAGGAGTGAGGCTATCTTATAGTTGTGAGGGTATGTATGTCCCTACACTAAGGTTCAAAACCCTTAATTTCACAAAATGAACAGGAAGCCATGTCGCTGACTGTATTTTACTGCTGTATAATTTGCTTAAACATCTTGGATTCAGTTACCGCCATTTCATCTGTCTTATGCCACTGTTTCAAGGAAACGTCAGTTGCCTATAGCAATTTTACCCTAACAGGGCCTAAGTAGTCCCTCAGACGTACTAGAACAAGGGAGGACGGAATACACATGCGCAAGTGAAAATCACTATTCGCAAGGAACGTGACCCGCAGAGGAAATTGTTCTCTCCACATGTCACCTTCTATAAGGGTGCAGGTATTTCGCTCGATCTTCTATCTGTGAGTTAAATGAGCGACTGCTTGTAGTCAAGTAAATAACAGAAGTTCTTACTTGGTTCTTGAGGCTATCCAGCTTTTTTAAAAGAAACATTCTAAGGGCCTGTCTTTCCTCCACTTGAATAAACTTTAATGCAACTTCCTCAAATGAAACCTGTGTCTGGGCATAGCACTTCGCGGCAAAGGAGTAACTATAAACAGTCAAAAAATAGGTGCAACAGTCAAATTAACAGCAGCAAGTCAAACCTCAGAGAAATCAGGTAATCAACACATCTTTCATTTTAACAAATAAACCAATAAGTCAGTCGGTCAGTCAATCGATGTCCAAATTCACCAATCAAACATTTTTAGCAAGGCAGTCAATATCAGCCTTCAACCGCCTTAACACATACTTTATACATAAGCGTTATAGGCCAAGCGCGAGGGTTAGAGTTATTAATACCTGAAAATTAAGTCTTCTTTTGCGCTCCGAAAGCGCAAGAAAATACCAAGGCGAATGTATCTAGCGATCTTGACCAAACAAGCTTGGTCGGTAAACGCTTTATTATGTTGCCACAACAGAATCTTTTCTTGTGGGACAATTTAAAGCAGGTAATCCCGAGCGTGCAAGATAAGTGTATCTTGCCCGCTCGGGTAGCCAATCAGAAGACAGTATTCGCTTCACCTTGCCCGCTTGTGGAACCACCCTTATAATAAAAGCAGCTTCTATGCAAAGGCAAAATGGCAGCTGTTAGAGCTCAAAGTTACCTTTTGCTATCAAACAATTCTTCAGCTTGCTTCGTTAACACTTTGTCCAAATTTGCAGGATTGTCCTGTTTATGATGCAAAAAGATCAGCAATATCATTTTACATACTGTACAATAATTAGCAAATATTGGATGTGGCTGGGTATGATATGAAGAATAATTCAGATCAAGGAGGGTGTACATATATGGCCTTGGTGGATAACACCCTAAGAGGTCTGCATAATTCTTCATATCATGCGAAAGTCGAAACTTATAATGTGTTTTACTGTTCATTTGAATAATTCAAACTTCAACAAAACGTACTTAACTCCATCTATGTAAAGTTCCCGCCTTCATAACCGTTTGCCCTTTCCTCGATAGTTTCAAGTTATAAGGAGATTTTTATAGCAGTTGACATATTTTTTCAATGTTTAGGCAGTAGTTCGTCTATTCAGTGTACTTCGCAAAACGTGTGAAATCGTATGCTCTCTTCACCTTCTCTACTAAAACAGCTGGGCTACTGCACCTTCTGCGGTCCATTTTTTGACAATATCAGTACAACTGACGTCCTTTCTACTGATATCTGCAAACATCTCCCAAATTAGGTCAACGCTAAATGGTTATGGACAATTTACAGAGGGATTACTATTATTATTCTTTGAAAATATTTAATTTCGTTGTTTCTGGTAGGCTTTTTGATTAAACAAAGAATCACGGACTTTTAACACTCATCATTATTTACAAGAGGAACAAATAATGTTTCACTAATATGTTATAAACTGTACTAAGTGCAATTTGGCCAACAGACCTTCATGATAATTCATACCTTACAATATTCCTTGGCTAATTCAAACTCTCCTCTTTCAAGATACATTCTCCACACATCCCTGATAACAATAACATGTGTAATAATAATATACGATTCCACGACTTCAGGATTGGGAATAGGTATCGATTGGGTTCGATTGTATTTTGGTTCGATTTTGTTCGAATAGATTCGCCTGGCGGTATGGAATATTAGGACACAGACGTCTCCCTCCCAAAATGTCCCGACAGCAGCCACAGCAGGGCGGCAATGAGGGGCGGCTGCATTCACAGACTAATTTGAGTTTTCAAGAAAAAGGTTCATCTAGACTGTTCACAATCCACTATTTTCTCGTAAGATCGTCAGGATCAAGCGCTCACCGGGACGGGCCACCATCTTGGTTTCATATGTACCGAGGGGATGGGCGTCGGGGTTTATAGGGGTTGGGGGAGGTAGGCGAGAAAATAGAAAAAAATTGTCTCGCTACGTCCCAAACCGTCTACCGCCCCCCAAGTAGATTTGACATCCATCCAAGATGGCCGCCCGATCTCCACAATCTTACGGAAATACAGGGGACTGTGAACAGTCTGGGGCCAAGTAATCTGGGTAACTGACCACCTACCCCTCCCCTTAGTCACAATTTTGCCCTAAGTGAGAGGTAAGTGTTAATGTTGACTTAGGAAGGGGTAGGTGCTCAGTCAGACAAGGCCACTTACCATTGATTGCACCGTAATAATACAACAGTCAAGACAATATTCTTAGTAAATTTACAAACCTGCTTTCTCTGGTAACATGGTATTGAAAAATAGCTGAATCTGAAAATATCCAAACAGTTTTCTTTACAGAGTCAATGCAGAGGCCTCTCATAGCACCATACTACAAAGAAAAGATGCAAGTTACATATTAATCTATAAGAGCGAGAGAAATTATTTCCCCTTGATTTAGTTTTAGTATTTTTTCAAGATGCATGAACATGTAACATATTCTTGAATGATATCTATGCTCAAAAGTGTTATAGTATTAAACGCAACTGGTCCTGAGTGAGACAATTAATTTACAAATTGACGAGTTTACCGAGCATTCGTTAAGTTATATTACAATACCCCATTCAGAAAAACTCTGATATGTAGGAATTTGCGAAGGCAGGTATAATAACTATCTAAAATGTGCTTTTATGTTCCAAACTGTCTACTTTAGATACCAAATTATAGTGATCTGTTATCTACCACCCTTACTCACTTAAGAAGTTGAATTGGTTTACTGCTTTCTTCTTTTATTGTTTAAATAATTACGGTGCTTGTAAAAATAAAAAGGGATGAACATTGAACAAAACGATTCTACCTCGTCTGAGTTTCTGGTGATATAAGATTTGTACCTAATACAAGGAAAAATTTAATAACAAGGAATTTTATACAAACCCGAGGTGGAAGTTGATCTTCAAACACAGCTTGTTCACTAAGAAGTGACACTGCCTCAAATCTATAAAATTCAATTATCACAAAAAGAATAATAATGAAATAGTGCCAAGATTCCTTTACTCTTTTACTCTTAAAGCATGTTATAGCATGTTAAGTTTTATACTTGTTACTCTAACTTTTAAATCTGTGGACAAAATTCTTTCTTTGGCCAGCAATAGGAGAGAATAATACATGGCATCAGTCAAGTTTAACAAACTTGTTGTTCTTCATTACTCCTGCAACTGCACTGCCATCATATGAACCAATAAAATGCATGCAAGATCAAAGTCCCCTAAAAATTTATCTTAAAAGCAGAGTAGTATGAAAAATGTGTAAGAAATGAAGTCTTTATGCTTTGTGTAAGGTTTCAATCGCACATAGATATTAAGAACATAAAAGAAAAGCTCAGAGTAACAATCCAAGCCCCTCAGCAGGAACCGAATCCATGACCTTATAGTTACTACAGCTGTAAGCTATGGGCAGGGCTGTCACCAAGGGCTGGGGCTGGGGATTTCCCATGGCTTTCAGTGATTTTGTCACCTCTGCGTCCTACGCCCCTGATGCATAAAAATCCCCAAAGACACAAAATAATTCATGGCATACATCCTGTAAAACGCAAAGATCGATTGATCGATCTGAAGATGTTTTCGTAGACTGTCAAGTTCATGTGATTTCTGTGGCTGTTATTGCAGATGTTTTTTAATCATGCATATTTATTTCAGTCTTTTTTGTGTTTCAAATAGAAGGACTATATTTTAATTTCAGTAAACTGTACTGGAGCGTTTTGGAGCCTGTCTTCAGATTAACTGTCTGGTTACATAAAGGCCCGAGCATTTTCAGTGTAGGACTCATATATTAGGGCCATTTATACGAGGAAAAATAAGACGCGTCTTACATAAGACGCGTCTTAAATAAGACGCGAACTGTACCATTTATACGAGCATGTCTTATCGAAGACGAGAAGAGCTCGTATCAATGGTTCGCGTCTTATTTCTGTTCTTGACTCGTTTTCATGTGAATGTTGCCCGTAGCAACGGCAATCCAACGTGGCGCGCCAAAAATTAACGCATGCCTACGATGCGTTCGCGTCTTATATAAGACGCGAAGGTCATTTATACGAAGTTTTTCTCGTCTTAGCTAAGACGCGTCTTATCTAAGAACACGTGTTAAGGGCTGTTCTAAAATAAGACGCGTCTTAGCTAAGTCGCATGTACCGTTTATACGGAAAGTTGGCGTCTTATGTATTAAAGACGCGTCTTATTTTTCCTCGTATAAATGGCCCTATTGTCTTTTGAACTGGGACTAATGATTTTTTTACAAGATGAACCCCGGGACTCAACATAACTATTTGTAACAAAATCACTGGCAATTATGAGCATGACCCATTGCAATTTTTAAAGAAAAATACCCCACAACTAGAATTTTTAGTGACAGCCCTCATATGTCTTTGAGCAGGTCACATACCATGGGTGCATGGTTGCAATTACCTGTTTTTGTAGAGCATAAGAGCATGGAAACCAGTAAGGCCAACAGATAGTGGAGGGACAGCCTCCATTCCACCAGATAATTTATATCTTGAAATTCAGTTATAAGAAAACAACTTCTGTAAAACACTGTTGTAGGAGTTTACAGCCTGTAAACAACACTTGGCTTGTAAAGCTGAAAATGTTCAGATTGATTTTTTTTCAGCTTAAAGGTGTATTTTATACCAAGCCTGCATAGTGGTCATTTCCATTTCCTTGAAAAAACTGAATGAAACCAATTCTAGAGGCACTAGCCATATGTCTTCCAGACCACTCAGTATGTATGATAGATTTACACTAAAATACAATGGTGAGCAAGTTCTGCACAAGCCCTTACACAAGGGAGATCTCTTAAAGCCTTTCGTTGAAAGAGCATTTTTGAACCTAATGAAATACATGATGAAGAGTCTATCTATATGAGTAAACAGCACTGTATTGCTAGGTGTTTTGCACAACATACTCAAGTCAAAACCAGATATTAAAAACACAGGCATTCTGTCTGGATAATGAAACAGTTAAAGACTGTAGAGACCACCATACTCTAGCTAAAAATTAATATTCAAGAATTCTTGTGACTTGAAAGGATACTGAAGGAGTTTTGTTTCAGTTGTAATGTTATCAGATGAATCTTGAGGATTGAAATCTAAGTGTCCAAAGTATACTCCACTACCTATATGTTACAATCAGAGGTAGAAGAAAAATACATAACTAATTTATACATGTAAATGGAAGGATAAACATTTTGTAGTTAAACATGAAATTTGGTTTAAAATGGCTTCTACGTTCAATGACATTCAGTTCAACCAAACTGATTATCGATGGAGAACTCCACGCAATGAACACCTTAGAGCTAAAATTTTGGATTAAGTTCAGAATTTTCAGAATTTTTCGATTAAATACCTGATAGAATCCTTCTTGATGTGCTCTTTTGTGTGTTTAGGTTTTCTAAAGCATCTTTAATGCCCCGACATCTTCACTCATATTGTTTTAAAACTCTGCCACCATCTTGGCACTAACACTTACGGAACATTACCATGGCAATAATTTATAATTTCACAAGTGAAATTTCAAATTAGTACAGGTCATAGCATGATTTGTCAGTAGTGATATTTGGCATAAATACCACGAGTGACATTTTGAAATTGTTATAAATAATTTCATGAGTCGTTAGGTGAGTGAAATTTGAGAAATTTTTGAAATATCACGACTGGTATTTATGCCAAATATCACATGAAAATCATGCTATTATTTGTTTATACTACTACCCACAAAGGTTTTGTTTCACATGTAGGTATTTCAAATTAAGCTGAAATACCGCTGCTCTAAGCCAATCAAATTGCAGAAATTTCTCATGTAGTAGTATAAATGCTGAAATCTTGGGCCAAAATTAAGGTGTTATTTGTCACGCATGATATTAGGGTACAAAAACCATGATATTCACTTGGAATGTCTGAGAAATTCAAGGATTTAACTGACTACTGTTAATTTAGATGCACACAACTGACCTGTGAGCCATGCAAACGTTCTTGGTAGACCTCTTACTTTAGGATAAAATAACACTAACTCGCTCGCTTCCAAATGACCAGGCATCTGAAGGAAAGGTGCTGCCAAAAAATAAGTTCAAACAAAGACTCCAATAAGGAAGAAAGGTAAGAAGGAAGGAAGGGATGGAGGAATGTAGGAAGTCGGAAGCCTGGGGGGTACTCCCTATAATAACCTATAAAGGGAGCTCTAGGCTCTGTCCTTTTTCAGGTACAGGTACATGTATATTAAAGGGCAAGGATTTTACTTGTTGAAGTATATGAAAGTGTAGGGAAATCTGTCATTTTGGTCTGTCAGTAAAAAGCCCAAATGGGATAATACATGCATTTTTATGGCTGTGAAATTTAAGATAGTGTGTTTACAGCAGTAAAAAGGGATGTGAAGTTCTAAATTAGCTGTGTGAAAGGGGTCTCTTTAGTCGATAGAAAGTATACAAAAGGGGTACCTTTTCTGTAAAAAAAAATTGGTAACTTTTTAAAGGGTAAGGGATTGGATCTCTGGGTGGAGCCTCCCCGTATAAAAGTTTGTTGAGTTCCTCCCACCAGGGGTAGGAGGGATGGGATGGAAAGAAGGAAGAAAGGAAGGAAGGAAGTCAGGGAGGGAGGGAGGGAAAGTCACATACCTGGATTGTTTTCATACTCTGCGAACAATGGCTGAAAGTCCAGTGAATCTGTACCAGATGCATCACCAATAAACTGATACATGCGACTGGAGGAAAACAACGAAGACATACTGACTATTATCAAAGAACTTTAGAAAAATAGAAACAAAGAAGAGCCCAGGGCATAAGCGTTGAATTTAAAGCCCTTTTTCCTTTGGTTCAAAAACTGCCTGGCGCAAGCAAATTGATACCCTCGCCATGGTACAAGGAGAAAGCGGAGGCGGGTGTTGGACCCCCTAGGGTTATTACTGCATTGTAATTCCCCTCTCCTCCTTCCTCTCTTCGTGTTGTGGGGAGACTGGGCAGAAAACAAAAGAGAGCGCGCAGGGCACGATGATTATTGCTATTTTCATGGGGATACCTAGTGGGAGCCTCCGTGGAGGAGAGAGTTGTAATTCACAAATATAATAACAAATAATTTTATGAAGCTCTTTGAAAATAACAATAATTACATTAGACAATAGTCCACTCTTTAGGTAACCAAAAAAGACCACAGGTTGCTACAACTAGGTGACACTAACAATGCATTATATAACCCACGCCTGATGATATACGTACATTGTTGTATGTAGTAGTAACCGTTAAACAAACACATTAATACATGTACCTGAGTGTAGAAACCATGATGAAATATTTTCTATCAGATTTTGGAGACGCAGGGAATTTCTCAAACATTATGCCATAAATTGATTCCTCTGGGTCCCCACTTGAGTTAACATCATACAACTGCAAGTTAAAACATAAAACAACACACAGGGGAAACAATAATCATCAGTCATTAACCAAACACTTCATCATCATCATCATCATCATCATCATATCAATCTCTATTTTAAACACGAAATCATATCACTTTCACATGGTCTTACTGGGAATCGTGTGTAAAATTCAACTAAAATACTCTAAGGAACTAGTTGACTATAAAGTTAAATACACAGGTTACAATGATTCATGGTGTATTAAAATAATCTCTCTCATGAAATGAAGTTTTTTAATTAATAATTTAAGCTAGACAAGTTTGTATTCTCCAAAGGAGTCTTGTTCCAAAGAAGATCTATCTCTTCTGTAGTGTAGGCTCCCTTTGGCAGACTCAGTTCTGGGTGGGGGACATTATCCAACATTTCCCAGCCAAGCTCATCCAAAAAAACACTTACGCAAACCTCATAGTTAGAAAAGGTGAGAATTCTGGCAGCCCTACTCTGCATCTTTTGAAGTTTGTTTGATATTACCCCATACAGCACTACAGTAATTTTAAAAAATATAGGATTTAACCAGTGCATTGTACACATTCACTGTAGTATCAAAGGGTATTTATGGGACTTACACACTTTACGATACAAGACCAACAGATATTTTCTTTGAAATGGTATTAACCTTGACTGTGAAGTCATTATTTATTTGGGATAAATTAAATTGACTCCTCAAGAATGTATTTAGTTTTCATAACATTCAAAGTTAATTCGTTTGCTCACAGCCATGACTGAATAAAATTCATATCATAATTCATTTTATGTTCAAGGACGTACAGGGACAGGGGCTCACAGATTTGGAAACCTAGTTTAGAAAAGATGACAAATAAATTATGTTTCAATTTTATTACATGGAGTTACATGGTTCTCTTAGAGTAATGTCATTATAATATTCTAATAGTTGTTTTACATTGAAAGAACACATCAACACTACTAAGACAAAAAGCAAAAAAAAAAAAAGACATAATTAAGTACAAGTCATTATACTTCTTGACTTTACCAAGTGGAAAGAATTTATTGCCGAGAAATCCCACCTGCTTCCAAAACTTTTCCAGACCACCCTGAAAAAACTTTTCCTCTGGTTCTATCTCTGTCTGAAATATCAGGCCTGTAAAAAGTGTATTAACAAGCATGCATCTTTATAATCTTATAAGGTCAAAAAACATTAATAGTATAGTCAAGTAAGTTTAAAGGATCAATATACAAATGACCTCACACAGAAGCATATAACCCCGGGGGTTATATGCTTAGAACTGCTTTACATGTTGTTCAGGTTTTCCAAGACAACAGGCCTGTTTAGAGGCAACTAGCATAAGATACAGGATGTAAGACAGTTGCATATGGAAAGAAAATTGTGAATTTTTGGGTACACCTTTTGAAAAGGATATTTATTATATAGTTAATAAATAATTTTAAAGTTAGATACTGCACCATTTAAAAAATAACAGAGAATGGTCCCTATTACATGTATGCATGGTGCCTTTATGCCCAAGTGAAGTTGTCAAATGTTGACTTAAGTTTCTATTATTTTGTTCTGTGTTATAAATTATTCATTAATTTTTAAATGAATTCAGAAACTAAAAGCGTCTATGCACTATTGTCACCTCTGGAAAACAAAGATGGTACATGACTGTACTGAGGAAAAGGTTGAATCATGATTGCAATCTGATTTAAACAAACCTTTAGAAGTCCCAAGAAGGATTGTTTGTGTAGAACTCTCAGTTAATTTAGCCTTATTCCATGCAATGGCATTGATAAGATGTCCCTATATCAATTAAAGGAAAAACAGAGCGCATATTAAGGCATCAGTAAACCCTGGATAGCATCATCCCCAGGAAGTCACTGAAATAATGAAAAAGGAAAATGGATGGGGTCACAAAATCTCTCCATTGAGATACACTGGCTCTTGAAAATTAGCCTAATGACACTAATTTTAACTCTTGCTCTTTCTATTTTCAAGTTTTTATGTTGTTGGTCATAAGTCCAACTACATCTGTACTGCAACAGGTCTATTAATTATAACCAACAACTGTTTTGCTCACATTGTTTTGCACCATCCCAGCAGAGTCTTTCTTATGCTTGCTCGATTGTGGCGTACTCAACAAAGACTCCGCATGAATTGAGTAAGATCTTTGCTAAGCATGTACAGCATGCTGCTGGGGTATAGTTTTGAACAAAGGCCTAATAGCTTGCTACAGCAGGCTTTGTTGTGAACATTGATTTATCAATAAACAAATGCTCACAATTGAAAAAAAAAATGACAAGAGACCAATGTTCTCCCTAAAGTTTAACTCAGCAGGTAAGGGACCATTCACGGCCGGTAAGGCAAAAACTTTGCGCCAGAGGTGCACTTTCCTGGGTTGGAGGGGTAGTGGAGTGAGGGACATGGCCCACCCTTGCTTGGAAATTTAGGAGCTAAGTTCTCTGAAACGTCATTCTCTCATTGTTAAGACCTACTTTATGCAAATCGGCCATTGTTATCTTAAGATAGCAATGTAACACATTTGATTCCAATAATAATATTTTACTCTGTCTTCAGTGTTCTCTTTCCAAAATGTATGGCCCATAAAAAGAAAAGCTGTGCATACTTAAATAGTACTTTTCCACATATTCATTAATTTCCTTGTGAGAATTGGATCAGATCACAACTTGCGTATGTTTCAAAACAATTTATTTAATTTTAGTAAACCTCCAAGCGGTTGCAGGCAGTAAGAAGTGTTGCTTCAGCAGTAAATTTTACCGGTTACCTCGTGATAATGAGAGCACTGAAGATAGTTTGACGCAATTCAGGCACAGCTTCCTTTCCTCCTCCTTGATCAAGAAGACAAAAGGAGGCTCTACTCGCAAGCTGATTGTATTGCAAAATGTTTAAGGGTTGATATAACTATCAGGTGGTATCACTGATCCCTTACCTTCATCTTTGCCAATGGTTTGGGTTTTTTGGAATTTCTCGCTAGATAGAAAGATTCTTGAGATTTCATACAGACAATGAGATGCCTTGCAGTGGGGTCCAAAAAGATGCGATGAATTGAATCATCCACTCTCTTGGTAATGTCAACACCTAGGAGGAGAGATGTAAAAGACAAAGCTTTTTTTGACTTGTAGCTCCTTTAGACCTGTTTTTTATTACACATACATGTACTATGGCTGGTTCTGTGAAACAGCGCTGAAATCCTTGTTCTGGTCCCTCACCTGTGTACCAGGATTTGAGTACGTACCATGATTGGCCTGTTACAAAAGACATTGCCGTCGGCACTGCTTCACAGATGTTGCTAACTGAGGTTAAATTACATCTGCGACGTAGGTTATGTTCAAATTGGCCACTCAAGCAGGCAAGATTAGATGGTAATGGGCCCATCTTGTCTTACTTACATAGATAGTTCATAGGTTCAAAAATTACTGACTACAGCTGTACACAGATCTGATCTAATTCAAATAATTATTCAGATGCAATACCAATAACACAAAATTACAAAGTTCCCCTTTAGAGTATGTTGCAAACCAATTTTACAACTGGCAAGGATCATACTTTTTTCAGGGCTTCTGATATTTAGTGTAGTCGCAGAGCTGCAAAATTCAGGTAAATCTGTGAAATCTTGCAAAATTCACAAAAACACATGATACAGAAACAGGATCAAAAATTATATTCCACAACTTTCCAGGCCTAAAAAATGAAATTCTTAAATTTTATGACTTTCCAGGTTTTCCATGACCTGTATAAACCCTGACTGGGCATAAGGAGAGATACTGAAACAAATGGAGCAGTTTCTTGTGTGAGGAAACAACAAGACAGGGGGGCTTGAACCCACATCTGAAGTTTGAGGAGTTAACTGCTTGGTCCCTGCACCTCCAGTGCTCAAAATAATTGTATTTTTGGACGGTGGCCGGACACGATGACTGGCTAAAGAAATTTTTGCTGACAGGTCAAAATATTGGGAAAAAAGTTAACTAATCCTTGTGTAATTTTCTATTTGTGAATGTGATTGTATTTTTATAAAGAAACAAAATGATCAATGATTTAAACAGAGGCGAGGATTCGGCTGTTTGTTCATGAATGAGAGTAAGTATGACCAGGCAACATGACTGACAAGTGAAGTTTTTAGCCGCTTAAGTTGCCATTCTGGCCAGACACTGCTCGTTGACCAGCCATTACTTTGAACTCTGAACTCTGCTGCTTATCAGAGCACAGACACTCATTAGAGGAAATAGAGTTATATCCAGTTAACCACATTCTCTCTGTATACTTACGATCTATTTCGCTTGGGTTGGACAAATCTAGCCTCATTAGCTCATTGTTGTTCAGAGCTATGGCTACTATGTTGTTACTCACTGCGACATCTACAATGTTACTTGGAGGCCTGTGTGTGTGAACAACGAAGATAAGTAATCATCCTTAATAATAACCATATGGCCCTAACCTCAAACATTGAGTGTGATCTAACACCTGATTTAATTTCTTTCTAAAACATGAAGCATAAAATAAATGATAATATACATGTATGCATGGTCAATTTTCGAAAACTTTGAATGGGGAGTGGATATATATTGGTGGGGCGCAGTCTACATGTGCATGGTATCAAAGTGTCTTCATAATAAATACTTAATTCTCAGTGAAAAATCAAATAAATGAGAGTGTTTAGTCGAAAATTTTATACATGAGTCCCTAGCTTGGGAGACTGGGCAACCACTTCTTACATCATCGACGATAGATAAACTTCATTCATTCATTCATTCCTTCCTTCATCCATTCATTCAAAATAGGGATCCCTGGTCCGTGGACCACCTTCGTGGACCCAGTCTATGGACCATTTTTCATGAATCCACTCAATGGACCATCCTTAATTTCTGAAGAAGAATTCAGAAGGTAAAAGGCTCTTTTATAGGGTTCAATCCCGACAAGTGACTTGGCCTTTAAACAGCAACAGAAGACTAGATAAACAAATGACATAAAGATGGGTTAAATGCCAACAGGGACATAGCCTACCTTTAGAACACAAATAAAATAACAACTATGTTTGAAATTCAGCCTGGAGACATACAGACCACCCCACCCACACCCCCTGTCCCTAATTTTAACTGGACCATAACACTGCAGTCACTTTATTCAAAATTGACTCAGTCTCTTAATGTATCAGACTGTATATGGCTTGTCAAAATACAACAGGAAAATTTTACATGAGGCCATTTCCGAGTTGCCCCTAGCCTTAGATTCAAAGCGAGGCTAATTGCGAACCATTGATATGTGAATGCCCCTCTATTCTCATGCAAATAATTTTCCGAAGCAAAGCTTTGCATTTAGCCCAGTTTTGAAAGTGAGAGTTTTTGGAAACTCGAAAATGGTCTTTTAGTTGTAGGTTAACGGTTTACCTGAAGTTGATTTTTTGGCGCCGGAAAATGGGCACTTCGTCCTCGCTTCTTACGTCAACATATCCAGTTAAGATCTGTTTAATTTTTGAACAATTTCACAATATTAAAAGAACACCTACAATACTGTCGAGAATGCGAATTGCAAAATGAAAGTTAGTTATGGGACAGTTGCGATGCATTGGCATAGCAAGCAGTAGTGTAGAAATAGAAAAATTGGGAAAGTGGTGTTCCATGATTTAAAATAAGGAAGGAAGATACCAGTGACACTGACCGGTTCTGTTACATCTGGTCCAAGGAAAGGATTTAAATTCTCCCCCGCCGAAGCTTGTAAGTACTGATCGAGGATGGACGCCATGTTGATGTAGAGCGCTCTTCGAATTCCTCTGGGAGGGGAGAGAGGGAAATTTATCTATTTCAATTAAAAAACTTTTTTACTTTGGCTTCATCTTGAAAAAGTGCAGCACTAAGCTAATTTAACTGCTAGGAATCAAATTCATAGCCTTATTGCGGTATTTAAAGCAAAATTTGTTGTTTGAGAAGTTATAAAGTACTCTCCTGGGTACCCTTGTAAGGTTATTACTTGCAGAGACGTGCACTGACGCGAAACCGAGGCTCTCAAAGTAAACACTCGCTCGGCACAAGATGGCATCCTTCTACAGTGATTACTTTCCAAAAGATCTGTTGTCTAGCCTAAGCGCAGAGGTTCTATATATAATACTGTCGTATCTTCCAGCAAAGTCTTTGCTGAACGTAAGTGAATGCAATCGTCGACTGAGAGATTTATGTCAGAATTGTAATTCCCTCTGGAAACATCTTTGCAAGGTAAGCCCTTTTCCGGTTTCCTGTGAGTCGATTCTCGAGGAAGTTTCAGTGCCTTTCTTGCTTTCCCTCGATGTTCAAGTCATTTTATTCCGTTCTTCTCAGAAAAATTAGTAAGCCCAGCACTTTATCTTTAAGTTCGCTTGATTGTAGACAGCGGATACACTTTTTCTTTGCCAGTTTATGTAGCTGGCAAATGCCTGCTTTTGTTTGTGGTTCCATCTGAAACATTCTTTTTCCTATAAAAAAATATACATGTTATTTATATCTGAAGATAGTTTTAAAAGTAATTCATGATATAGTACGAGATGAAAGATCAAAGATAATCCTTTCTTGATATGGTTTCCCACCTTTATTATGGCCAGCTCCTCGATCCGATGATGACCACTTTTTTTATGGGTCGCATTATGTGGAATGTTATATAATAAATTTATGAGTGGCTCAAGGATTTGTTAAACCTATGCAGCAAGCCCTGTATGGAGGGCACATGCCTTAAATTATTGTTAATATAGTTTTGAACTATAGGTGGTTTCCAGGGACAAGGTAAAGCTCCCTAGAAACACATGTAGAATGGGGTGCCCATTGACACACCAGTATTTTCACAGAGCAAAATTTGTGGATTATACGGCTAACATTAGAAGAGTTACCATGTTACTACCTTTTCTGTGAAGAGGGTGGGAGGAGGGGCGGTGCTGAGCAGTTACAAACTTGAACTTCGGATCAGGAGGGTCATGTTCAAGCCTTGCCTTTGCATTGTGTCCTTAGACTAGAAACTTTGCTTCACTTTGTCTCTCTTCACCCAGGTGTATAAATGAATACTGATAACATAGAGGCTCTCTTAGGGTAAATTCTGACAAGTAACTTGGCCTTGAAACAGCTACACATAAGACTAGATGAAAATGGCATCAAACGGCCCACAGTGCAAAGATAGGTTAAATATCTTCAGGGAAATGGCCTAATCCTCAAAATGTGAAACAACTGTATTTGAGAGAGACTACTAAGGGACATGTGTACCCCACCCCCCCCCCCCCCCAAAATGGCCCTCAACCTACTGCTGGGGTTAAACCTACGATGGAGTAGCATCCCATCCATGGAGGGAATTGAACTATTTTTATACAATACATAATTTAACATATGATACATTTTTTGTTCATATTTCTGTTTCTCAAGGTAATAATAACGTTTCTGTTTCTTAACGTAATCGCTTATTAATATAATAAAGGTTCATTTTGAAAAATGTATGGAAAATAAATAGAAATGCCTACAGGACCTAAATAAACGGTGAATCACTTCACACCATGGCAACCAAATTAAAAAAGCTCCTCTCTGATCCACTTGGCTTGTATGTGATGCTTTACCCTTTATGTGTTACAACCTTTTAGGGGCATTTTGGATAATAAAGCAAAAAATGAAGTACACAATGTGTTACTCAACTGAACTGTCGTTGATGTATCACCTAACATATAAATAGCCAGCGCCTGCTTATTTGATGTTTTTGAATATTTTATTCCTCTTAGAGATGCAAACAAACTTGAACCATAATTTAATTCCGAAAACCCAAGTACATGAATTTAAGGTACCTTTTAGAGGAAAGTCATGATCACTGCTTAAAAATTTTTAGAATAGGAGCAGGTAGGGAAGATCAGAAGCACAATGTTTGTCCATTTAGGCTGTGAAAGCAGAAAACTTCCTTTACAATATTAAACTCATTTGCTGGTTTCCTGCACTTTATTTTGATAAACAAAATTACAGCATTTAATAAAATAATTTAGTTGACTAGGATAGTTTTTTAAACACACTTTCTTCATTTGAGTTCAAATGTTAAGAAAGCCATTATTCTTACCGGACTCTTAAGCTTTCATTTCCTCCGAGTTCTACTTAATAGTCAGATTACAAGCTGTAATCCCTTAGTAGGCAAAACATAGTAGGATTCCCTGAGATCGTGCTTCTGTGGCCTAACTTTGAGTAATTACGTTGTTCCAGAATGGAAACAATATTTTATTGCACCCTCTCTCTTTTCTCTCTAGACTCTTGTTTTCCTCCTTTCATTCATCATAAAACCCTGTTTCATCTTTCACAGGACCTGCACTCACTATTTTATAGCCTGGGACCAGGCTCTGCAGTGGGGCAAAGAGGCAAAAATATTGGCAAGCAAAGCGAGTTGCGCAGAAGTCTGGGAAGGGGAAAGGGCGCTCTTTCTCCTTTGCTAGTCCACCACTTGACAAGCTGTTTTACCTCATTTTTGCCTCTTTCTCTCACTATGATTTCTGGTCTAAGGCAATATTTTAATGGTAATGACCTTCAATATTGGTCAAAGGTACCTTCAATTTTAAATAATAATTTTAAAAAGTTTAGTATATATGTTGTAGTTAATTTTTTATCTCGGGTAATTTTTCTTTTTCTTTTTTTTTTGGTATGGTAATGTATGCTAATGAAGTACAACATATATCTTTTTGTGATGAGTTTAGTAATCAAAAAATCCTTTAAAATTCCTGTCTCTTCATACATTGTAACTAAAAAAGATATACATTGTACATAATGCATTTTGATGTAAATTTTTTTGTGAGTTTCCAAAAGTACAGATAAGCTTTTAATGAGTTCTTTTCCCTGAATATTTTTTTAGATTGATTTTGATGCTGATTTGACAGTCAAAGGTTCCTTCCCATCCTTCTATATTTTGTATCAGCTATTGTATAAATCACGTATTATACTTGAAGACACAGACTACAGTACCTTCAGTGGATACCTACCTGACTGGCTGTATTATTGGAGTGCTCTCAGTACTAAACCACCTCTCCCTGGATTTCGAAACTTGCCAGCCGGGAGAACAAAGAAAACATGGGGTAGGATTCGAGTTAAGATTTATATTTATTTCTGTGCCTCTCAAATCTGATTTTGAAGCTCAAAATAATGTTATTGGCAAATGCTGTCCAGCCAAGTCAATAGAAATACTAAGGGGGCCATAGAAAGTATCAGTATTAAATAGGTCATGTTTAGCTTGTTGAGCTGCTGTCAATGGTTTATTGGAATATCATAAGGGATTTTGGAATGATTAGTGATTTGAAATCTCTTCAAGTCTTCTCCCAACATCCCTAAAATTGTTTACTTTTTATTTTCTTGTTTTTGTTTTTTAATGGTCTAATGCATTTATAAAAAAAACAAACGGGTATCTGAAATTAAAAGTATTATTTCAGTTAAAGTTATGACGGCCTCAAAATTCATGTACATGTATGATTAAGTTTTCACTTGCATTTTCAGTGAGGGCTATAGCAATGCACTCTTTGTCGTTGTATTATCCATATCATAACTGATTTATTTTTTTTTTGTTATTTGTCTCAAGGTCTCACTGAAGAGGACTTGACTAATTATCAGCTACAGTCTAGTAAGTCCAGAGAAATCGTCAGGCTCGAACGATATTACAGCTGGACAGATGGTCTAGAAGCAGCTTTGTGTAAACACCAAAGTAGACAAAGATTCCATGAAGTAGCTCTCAAACGATGCATGCGAAGTCAGAAACAAATACACAAAACATTTCCAAAGGCATCTAGGAACCAACGGAAAAGGGCATTTAATAAATTCCAGAATGAACATCGCAGCCTGAAAAATATTCTTTCCAAGCAAAAGGAAGGGTCTGGCGAGTTTTTGAGTTATCAGAGTCCTCACAAAATTGGGCAGGATTATATTGAAGGTAGTAATACAACATTTATTTTTTATATTTAATACAGTGAAATCTCTTTAACCCTTTGATGGCTGCTTTGGTTGTTTTCGTTCCATATGAATGAACGATGCATATTTTCTTTCCTGGACCCATTAAGCTTTCTGTTTAAGGTAATAAGTTGTGAAGCAACAGCTTAAGCAAAGATAGATCTTTTGACTGATACATGTACCTCGTTTTCGATATTCTGACCAATCCTAACAGAGCTACACTCACAAAAAAGTAACATTTTGGAGAAAAATCCACGTCCAATTTTGGGTTTTCCTATTACTCTTTGAACATTAAGTTTGTCCCTTCCCTAAAAAGTTAACCAGCGCCCATTCGCAAAAAAACCTTTGTGCATGCGCAAAATATGCTCCTTTGGTTGCAAAACTCATTTTTTAGCCAATCATATGCTAATTTGCCAAAAACCAGTCCAAAGAAAAGGAATTGGTGAAAAATGCATTTTTTAATGCAGACACCAAAGGCAAAAAGTTAGACCTGTGTCATTTTTTTTTCTTCTGAGACGCCTTTGTTACTAACCGAAAGAAAAAAACAGACATCTTTCTCATGAATTACATGAACTTAAGTATCCCTGGGACAAAGAGAACTGTTTAAATAATCTGTACTTTACAGGTGACCAGTTGATTCTCTATGTGCGACCACCTCTCATATTTTAATGTGGTTACTTAAAAAGTGACCACTTTATATTCAAAACACAGTAAGTCTCCAATTCAAAATTTGAGTTGTAAGGTGGAACTGCTTTGTTTTGTCTGCGTTCATATAGTTTTTACGATTCAACGGGTATTGATGATGTCTGTTTTCTTTCTTTTCGTAATAATACTGTTATCAACCAATAGCCATAATGGGATGGCCTTGTATCAAAATACTTCCGTTTTCTTTAGAGTCCAACAATGTTTTGATCAACTCCGTTTTCAAAGAAGCTCACAATTTCATATATTTTCTAGGCTATCTTCACAAGAGTGGTATAAAGCAACTGGAAAGTTACATCGAGTTTGCGAAGCAGCTTGAACAGGGACTCGACATAGCAGAACTTACTAAAGACATCCCTGAATGTGTTCTTCTGGTTTATGAAAAACTTTCGCCAACGGCGCATCAGCGATTCATTCAAGCTGAAGAATTCCTAGATGTTGCCAAAGAATACTTAGAAAGAGTTAAACGTGTGTGGAGGTGGCAGAATGAAAATGGTACTGAAGTAAGGAAGACTTTCCGAGATTGTCCTGTAGTAAAAGCTCATCCATCCTATAGGTAATGTTTGACATGTTTATTATAGGTTTTTAGCAATATGGTAATCATTTTTTCTTTTCTCTGTCTCTGTTTTTGCCGATGACTAAGACCTTTCCACTGACAGTTTCGTTAAACGCTTGACCTTGATACTAACTACGCGTGCTATAAAATTTGAGATAATTTTGGGCAAGGTTTGGTGACTTAATTTAGGTGCTTTAAGTCATTCAAAGCGTTCCGATTCTTTACATAAATCTTCTATCACGTACAAGAAGATCTACCGGGTGGTTATTTGCCTCGCGTAACACAACTCTTTTACATTTGGAATTTTTTTTGCTACTTGTTTCGCAACTGTTCTGCGACACAATTCACAGTTGTAACTACCCTGAAATGAACGAGATTGCGGACGAGATTGGTATTGTAGTGATTGTAGGTAAAATCCTGAATAAGTAGTTTGTCAGTTTGATAGGTTCATTACTAACAACAGCGTGTTCTTCTCATTCTCAGTGCATACATCCAGACAGGAAACGAATCTCACTTCAAAACTCTCAAGTTGAACTTTGAAGGACTTGAAAAGTTAAAAACTTGGCTCGATGAGAACCAATGGATTATCAAGCTTCTGGACTCGAACTTTATCTCTATTCTACGAGGAGCGCCTTTGCAAAAGTCAAACAACGAAGTTACCGCGCAAGCGATTCAAGCACTTAGGAAAATGGTCAAACTCTTTCTTAAAACAGGACGAAGAGTTGATTTTGATCGAATTCTTAAAAGATTGGCCGAATCAGCGAGAAGGTTTCTACACATTCATCTGGAGTACGTAGAGAGCTTAGAAAGAACACTTTCTCGTGATTAGAACCTTGTGGCCTTGTTCGGGACTTTAGTCCTATTTTCCATTTCCTCCGTGACAGAACTAACTAGCCCGTTTACAGAGGCTGTGGTCTACACGACTAGTTAGTAGTTACCGTTACTTGAAAGAGCGCCTTGCTCGTTCAATTTCAATGCGTTGCTCATTTAAGGAACTTCGGCTTTTTTAGGAATATTAAACGCAGTAGTCGTAATCTTTCCTCAACTTCCTTGTTTTCTTGAAAAAACGATTACGACAGCCTGCGTGAATAAATAACATAATAAAAGTCACTTTTGTACTGGTGCAAAGTTAAAGGACCGCTCGGCACTGCAATCAATTTTGTGTTTCTTTCTGGAACTCCTTCATGAAGGGATAACTAAAAAAATCCCGGAAAGCCTCGTTTTACTTTTTGTACCAGGAGAGTTGGCATGGTTATTTTTATTGAAGGAGGTACAGACGTTTAAGCACTCTCAAAGGCAAAATGATAAAACTTCTAACATTTGATAACTTCTGTCCGCTACTGCGACATTCTCCCTAAAACGCGTAGTGAAATGACGACGGCTCTCACTTTTTCCCGCCAAAGCGACTCTGATTCACGAGCGCATACTACTGTAACATGACTTAAAGTAATGAGAAAATCTCGTTCTCGTAGTCGTACTCGTCTAAAAGTCTCTATTGTGTAAGGCTAGTACAAAAGGTCAAGATTTGTTCAATCGCCAATTTTAGATTGGTACAATTGGTTTGCTTACCAGCCCATTTACTTTAACAATCCAGTTTTTAAATGTGACCTTGTTAGAGAAAGACCCGCTATAAAATGTAACCATGAAGAGTCTAAAAATTAGACTGCGTAACTGGAGGTTTGGTTGGGGAAGGGCAATGGAGGGAAGAGTAGGGTTCCCACGCACCTTGAAGGTCCTTGAAAATTGCAGTAGGTGCTGGAAAGTCCTTGAATTTCAATGCAAAGTAGAACTCCAAAGAAAAAGGAGCAAACACAGAAAGACCTTCGGGATAAAATTACTCATGTTGTGGAAGAACTAAAAAAGACATAGAGTCAAGGCTCTTTTTTGCACTGAATGGAGTCCTTGAAAAATGGGAAATGTGTCCTTGAAAAGTCCTTAAATTTTTTGTTCAAGAAAGGGGACGAGCCCTGGAAGAGTGAGCGATCGGTGAGGGGCGGGGACAGCGAGAAACGCTTCGCCGCTTGTTCGATTCGCACGCGCCTTCGTTTCCAGTTTGCCGCTAATTTGTTCGCTCGCCCGAAAAAAGTCGCAAGTTACGCAGACTTAACCATGTTATAGGCGTTCAGATTGTGGGGATTTCGCAAAGAGATGTGAGCAGGAAAAACAGCGAGGGGGCTACCGCTCTCTGACTTCGCTGGCTATGATAAAGAGTAAAAAATTTTTCGACTTAAATGACCACTCATAGTTTCGGAAGTTTCTTATCGGAATACCCGTTTATCCATATTTGTTAATGTTAAGCTCCCCTAGTCTAGGACCTTACTTTTTGATGGAACATGGTAACTTCAGAAACAAGAATAATTAGTTGAATCAGCTACATACGCTATGTGAACACTTGTACATAGGGGAATACTTGGCCACCGTTTCCGCAAAAGTCTTCGAGATGCTGAAAAAAATTACATAGATACATCGGAACAAGTGCATGGTTCATCATTTCAATCCCGCCGATCATTACAGTCAAAACTTGGCAATCTAGACCCAGTTGTTCGAAGGCCGATTAGCCTTAACTCGGGGTTAAATTTTAACCTGGGATTCTTTGTCTTTTGTTCAAAAGCATTTTCCCAGATAAATTTCCCGACCCTTTTGATAGCCTGCGTGCAAACGATAACTAAACTCTGATTAGTACCGTCTGCGAAGCAGCGCAGAGATCCTTGTTATGGACCCCCAACGGACTCAACGAATTACCGGAAGTGCGTTTCGAATTCCCCTTCAACCTGATTGGCGATCACGACAAACAAAACAAAGGCCTTTTTTAACCGGCCAATCGTGGAGCGTACTCAAATCTGGGTACACAGCTGGAAGTCCAGAACAAGGATTTCGGCGCTGTTTCGCAGACGGAGTTAACCAGAGTTTAATTTCGTCTGCGCGCAGGCTACCCTTTTGAGAGCATCCAAATCATCAAATTGTAGGCAAAAACAATAAATGTAAATGCAAAGCAAATTTTATTACCCATGGTGCTTTGCCGCAAAGGCTATGCACGTGCGACAGCTCCGCCCTGAACCATCGGTCACAATCCCCTGTTTGGAAACTAACCCTTCGTGCCAGGATATGGCGGTGCACAGGCAGCCCAAGCTCAGCACGAGAGTTTCATCATACATGTGGTTTCATATCGCGTAATCCTTAAAATGGCCGTGAATATAAAGGATTTGTATAACAATTCAGGTAAAATACAGCTTACCTTATTTACTTTAGGGACGCCACCATTAGAAAAGTGATGGGGGAATAAACAAAAAAAAAAAATTCATGCAAGGGAAAATGCCAAGAAAAAAAATTCATGCAAAGAAGAAGGTAAAGAAAAAAAATTCACGCAGAAGGAAGGTCCAATTGTGACTTGTTCAGAAAGTCTGAGTTTCAGAAATCAACAATATTACCAGGCACAATACGGATGAACAAAAATCACTTTCTTCTTATTGAAAGGAGACAATTATAGCCTTGTTTTTGTTTTAAATTGCAGCTAGTGTACCTACAACATACACTGTATAATGAATTATAATAAAAATAATAAAATAAAAATTTGGAATAAATAAATACTAGAATTTGGTAGCTTTGTAAACATTCTATAAAATATTTCTGCCCACAGTAAAAATTAGAGGATGGGTCTTACCGCCGTGAATAAGAATTCTACAATACAATGAAAAAGTGCATTCACACGTAGTAGTAAGGGACTGTATAATAACTATCAGGAGGGGGGCTGAAACACTAGAGGGGGTGCATTACATAAAATTATTGCCAAGATAGGAGGGGCTCAAAGTAAAATCACTCATTTGACGGAGGGGGGGGGCCTTAAGTTTTATTCGAAATGTAAATAATAAAATTAAACGCAATAAAAGATTCTCAATACAGGCATCATGATAGACTGTAACAAATATCAATACGAACAGCTGTTAACGATTATTGAAAATATTCCAGCAAAATGAAAAGCAAATTCACAACTGATCAATTTTAACCCGTCTTCTAATTAATTGAGCTGATCCTATGTAAAGCAAAATCATGAACTTGTTTTTCAGCTTCCCCCATAAAACAATGGGAATCAAACAGATCTCGTAGACAAGCTTTGTCGGTTTTTTCTTCATCGACTGAATCGATTTGCTGAATTCCATATATATCTGGCTCATAACAAAGTTCAACAGGCTCTCCTCCCAAGGATCTAAATATAATGCAAGTTCTTTTTCGTCTGTTATTTGAAGCGTTCAATCTCCTGTTCTCTGATTTTTTTTTCTCCGCTCAGTTTCTCTTTCTGGCTTCAAAAGTTTAATATTTTGAGCCAATGTGGGAAGCCCCCGGTACTTAGCAAATGCTTTGTCTAAATCTTCAATCAAGCGATCAACATCCTTCTCGATACTAGATGTTACATAATAACGTTTGTCATTATTGAAGCTGTGATGGCAGCTCAGTCCAGTTTTGAGTTTAAAAGTGTTTCCAGACGACGACATCCAACAAGTAAGCGTACGCTTACAGTAGCATGACAATTAATATAAAAGGTATTTACTTAAAGGCATCTATGGTAATAGTAGCGGTGAGGGGTAGGTGTGTGTGTGTGGGTGGGTGGGTGGTGGGAGGGGGGTGCGACGTTATTTTTAACATAACAGAGGGGGGTTAGAAGTAATTTTTTTTGTTTTGGAGGGGGGTACTGTCTAAGTTTTTGCTAGATAACTCTAGTTTTTCAGCCCCCCCCCCCCCCTGATAATTATTGCACAGTCCCTAAGTGTTAAAACTTTAACTGTCGACGACATAAACAGCAACACTGCCACCGGTACTTTTAACAAAAATTAAGAACCACAAAGTATGGTTTTCATTGGTGAATGGAGTATGGCATCATTATGATGGGCTGTGGGAGAGGAATTCCAGAAGGCAGGGACTGAAAAAATGCACAGGGAAGCCGTCCACTCCAAGTGGCTTCCTCCTCTCTCACTGTGTGCACATTTTCGAAAAGATTTTGCATTAAAGTGGCCTGTATCCTTTGATCTGTTGTGAGTGTAGAATAATTTATAAAGCACAAAAACATAGATAATGAATCAAGATTTCACTGTTCAAAAAAAAGCAATATTTGTCTGAAAAAAAAATTCGTGCAGAGGGGTTGACCTGAAAAAAAAAATTCCTGCACAAGCAGTGAGCGAAAAAAAAAATCGTGCAAGCTGAAAATTCCCCACCCCCCGCCCCCATCACTTTTCTAATGGTCCGTCCCTTACTTGTCTTTGCTTTCAAGTAAACTAAATAACGTAACCTGTATCTTATTGAAAATTCTAACGAGTATTTATCCCAGTTTTTTTATAAACAATATTTATGTCAACGTTTGCTCTAAGAGCCTGACTCATCTAGATAGCTTAAGCTGTTTACGTTCATGATTTTTTAAAAAATACAAATGCACGTCGAGATCGAACACACCGACACATAAAAAAGCGAAAGAATGAAAACAAAAAACAAAAAAACACAGCAACTAACAAAAGCGATTTGATAGCGAAATAAATGACTGGACAAGCTGAAACAAACTAACGTTAATTCGAAAATCAGCAGTAGAAATAGCATTTAAAAGCCAATCGATTTTTTCTTATCCGAGTCACAACGCCATCTATTTCCAAGTAATTGTGCAGCGGCCGGTAAACAACTTTTCACGCAGAGCACCAAAACTTTCAACTTATCTACCTGAATCTTTTACCTGAATTCGCATACAATCTTTTATATTCACGGCCATTTTAAGAATTACGCAAATGAACCACATGTATATTAATGATTAAAATTTCATACTGAGATTGGGTTGCCTGTGGGCGGTGTGAAAAATGATATGAAGATTGAGACCGAAGGCCGATGTGGATAACAGCCTCTGAAATCTGAACAATTCTTCATATCATACAAAAGCCGTCTTCAATAATTATTTCATTATTCATTCAAAATATTTCTAAGTTCTTAGCAACCTTAGCACCTCGTTCCCTGCTAGCAGAGGTCTCTCACGACGAGGCAAAAATGAGAGAAAGGAGAGAGAGACCTCTGCTAGCAGGGAAACCACCCCGTAGATGAAAAAGAAACAGATCGGTAACCCCTGTCCCCGCCCCACTTGGGTTTCTCAAGAGAGGATCCTTCCTTTCTTGACCCTTTCTTGGCCTTGAATAAAGACTGAAGTACTGTTATGTGTCTTTTTTCAGTTCTTGAACCATTGGACTCAGTTTTAAATTTTGCTAAAAATTTCGACGAGGATGGGATTCGAACCCACGCGTGCAGAGCACATTGGATTAGCAGTCCAACGCCTTAACCACTCGGCCACCTCGTCGTGCCCTTGCATGACATGCAGAGAAATGGAAATAATGAAAAATCAGTAGGAAAAAAAAATCCAAATGTGCTTTAATAGCCTGCAGAGCAGACCGGTTTCCGATGGAGCTCGATGACAAGCTCTGGCTTATGGCTTCGCCGCGCGATCTAATACATTTCAACGGAGGAATAAGGTTCAACGAAACTTTAACTTTCACAGTGTGTCCAGTGTTGCACAGTTTTTAAGAGTAGAGATTTCCCTGAAAGGTCAACACAGGCACAGGCAATGTTTTTAGTTTTCGGTAGGTAAACATATACAAAAGTATGAAACGTGCGTCTGAACGTATGAAAATTCTATTCAGCAGGCTTTGAAACCCGACACCTACCTGAAAAGTACTATCCTTAGTCTACCCCCGGCTCGCTCGGTCGGCTTGGATTGGGATCACGCGCTTCTCTCTTGAGAACGAGGCTAGCTGGAGAGAAGAAGGCCATCTTGGAAATAGTGTCTGGTGTAGTTGTCGCAGTTTCAAGATGGTGTGTACCGCCAATTAAAGCTTGAATTTGCATCAGCATTGCTCAGAAGGATAAACCTTACTACCTCTTCTTTCTCTCTGTAGAGTTTCTTTGGATTTGGTCAGTCTGCCGAGCTAGAAGTAGAGCTCGCAAACTCGGCAACTCGTAAGCAAGTGGACGTGAAGAATGAAGACGGAAAGAAGGAGAAATTGTTTCTTTTCTACGACGGAGAAACTGTTTCCGGGAAGGTACCGAGTTCTATTAATTACTAGTATTGAGATCTGATCATTGTGTTTTACTTATTTGGTTATTCCGAGGTTGTTAGAATTGGAATGGTGCACAAATTCTTGGCCTAAAAATGAAGCTAAATTGGTGCAAATAATCGCTGTATTTCAATCCGCGCACCAGCCATTTGACAACAATCCTGCTTTGACAGAAGGCAGACATACAACATGTAATGATTTTAGATCGACTTGGAATCAGCAGCGATTTTGTCTGCCATAAAGGTTGTTAAACCTTAAAATCCATTTTATGTAAGCTTACATGTAGTATAGCCAGGCTGACATTTTACTACTTTGCAAGTCGTGGTATGTTTTATTTCTACATAATGCAGTGTCAAATTACTTGAATTAGCAATATGATATAAGAGGCCTTGCCAGGGTAAATTCCAACATGCAACATGACCCAAAAAGTAGCGATAGAGCGTAAAATGAAGTCACGATAAGAGACAACCTCCCTCTGCCAAATTGCGACAGTGACTGCAAAGCTGAGAATAAGTGACAAAGAATAGTGGTTTGGCTAATTTATCACCAGTCTGAATGCCAAGAAGAATTGATTTTCGTCAATTTTCCTTGTGCTTCAGAGAGTGACTCTTGTCAAATATGAGCTTCAGTGGACCCTCCTGTGAATTGTGTTAGCTGTGGAATGGAGATGTATAGGTGTTCGATATGCAAAATGTTAACTGAGAAATTGCAGAACTGTAATGGTTTCTTCACAACACATCGTTATCCCCCTTTTCTAAAATTCCAACAAAGAGAAAGAATTTTTTTTTAATTTCCAACAGTGACGTGAAGCATTTATAAACAATGACACGAAACTTTTCAACACTCAGACAAGCGACATGGGACCCACCCTGGCAGGGCCTGATATAAACAAGAAGGATAATTATTATGGTGTACTAGTTAAACTTATTTTTACTTGTGGCTTTAAGACTTTTTGTTAAAGGTGTCATTATTCCAAGAACACCCATTCCCCCCCGCCCCCAGTGGGCAAATGCCCAGGCGTTTATTTTGTTATGTTAATTTTGATCAATTACCCACCATATTGGTTACAAAGACAGTTACAGGTGTAGATGCCCTAATTAGGGCTTTACCAATAGTATCAAATAAACAAGTATCACTGATAGAAAGTCCAGATGAAAAGAAGAATCAAGTTTCATTTGCATGAAGCATCAGCAGTGCTATCCTCCCAGGTTGGGTGGATACCTTCTTGTTCCTGCAATGTTTCCTTGCTAAGGTCCCCGCAATAATTATGTCCTGGCCTTTAGTTTTTAAGTGCCTTACTCAGTGGTGTCCTGAAACGTGTCATTAAGATAAATTGTTCATTTAATGCAGACTGTCATACAGTTTTAATTTCATTAGAATTCTCCTGATTTTGCTTGTAAACCCTCTCTTATTCTTATGACACTTATACAAGAACACCTAACCTCACAGCTAGAAGTCATAAAAAATATATGAAATTTACAATAACATCAAGTACTAAAATAAGCAAAAATATGACAACCGATTTAGCAAGACCCCTCTAGCAGCTCACACCTTTAGCACTTGTGTGATTTGTTGGTGGTTAAAAAGTACCTTGATTTTACTTACCCTCCTTATATACCCAAAAGGTTGGACAGTCTGATAATGATTTCTACAAATTATACTTTTGTCCCAGTGAAATAATACTATGTTGTATTTCTGAACCAGACTGATGAATTAAGGCTTAGTGTAGAGTACTGATCATTTCAATTATTCAATTTGTGATGTTGTTGTTCTCTTTTATTGAAAAGGTGAATGTAAAGCTGAAAGTTCCCGGAAAGAAACTGGAACACCATGGAATTAAAATTGAGTTTGTTGGACAGATAGGTATATGCAGAGTCTCTGTGTGTGTTATTCTGTTACACTGATGCAACATTGTGTGATTTTTCTAATTGAGGCTGCTAACAACTGTACATGTAGAATGGCACTTTGTCATAGTGGGTCCATTTGATGAAAGTCCTGGAAGCTTTTAGGCCTGTATACAGGGATGCGCTTTATAAATCTACATAGTTTTGGAATGAGTTTTGGTCCAGAACAAAAATGAAGTATATACCTGTATTTTGTTTTATTAATAGTACAAAAATAAATATTAAGAATATTTTATTACCAGACATTCAATAGTGAATCTTTGATACAAACATTGTGCACATAAAATGGCTAGGGCTAGAAAATTATCAGGTCAGGACTTTAAAGAAATTGGCCTTTGGCATTTTAATGACTTTTGAAGATGTCACAGCTACATTTCAGAAACATTTGGTATGAAATATAATGTGTTTTTAAAGTCTTCAATCATTATTCTCTCTATTTTCAGAACTGTTTTATGACCGTGGTAATCATCATGAATTCACATCGTTAGTAAGAGATTTGGCACCCCCTGGAGAGTTGACACAGAGTACAAATTATGATTTTGAGTTTGTCAATGTGGAGAAGCCTTATGAAACTTACACAGGAGCAAATGTCAGGCTAAGGTGAGTTGTACCCTTTTACTAGGGATATGTCATCTCATTTGAGGCGTTGCTAAGGTAATGTAACTTTTGCTAATGTTTGTGCAACTTGTCTTGCACCATTGCAAGACAAGTTAAATCAGACATTGCTTAGTCAATTGTGAGACACGCCATGAAATGGACATGTAGCATTTACTGCAAAATTAATTAGATTGTTCAGGTGCAGATGCATACCAGTTTCCACCTTTCCATGTAAATTGGTCAGATTTTTTATAATGAATACATTTGTAGGAAAAAACAAAACTTTCCAAGTTGAAAGCTGGAAAATGGTTTGGACAGTCAGTAAATATCCTGTCTGAATGAATGCTGCAGTGGGAGCATGTCTCTGGACCCCCCTTAGAAGCTTGCCCTTCTGGTGCTCGTTTACGATGTCAGTCAGGAGTTATTCTAGATCTGCACTTGTCATTGTTGTACTTTCTGCAATGCTTGAGAAGCAGGATCCTACATTTACATGTACATCAAACAGGATGGTGAATAAGTGATGAGAGATTTCCTCTGCCCCTGACTACTCTTATAAGAACTTAAAAAGAATTTGGAACCAAAAGAATTTCGTAGTTGTATAAGTCCCTGCCCATGTAATGGCTGACCAGGCAACTAGAAAACACTCTAATTTACAATTTAAGTTTCAATGTGAGTGACAGCCCTGCTGAAGTTGTAGAAAAATTGTTTATGCTCTTTGTGTTGAAATGGTCAGTGAAATGGTGTATGAAACACTGCCTTACATTGTATGTACATTGAAATAGTATCTTTGCTTATTGCAATAATATTAATGAATTTTGTAACCGCCTATTCACTGATAGTCTCTCGTTGATTTTGCCCTATCTTTAGGTATTTCCTGCGAGTCTCCATCATCAGGCGAATCAGTGACATTTCCAAAGAGTTAGATCTCGCAGTCCACACTCTGTCAAGCTTCCCTGAGATGAATAACAGGTACATGTACCAACTAAAATAGAGAACAGAAAGAAAGCTACTAAAGTGAACATCATCTGTTTGGCAGTAGAATGAACGACCTATACGTACACGGTTAAAAAAACCCTGAAAACATTTAGGCTTGACTGTCAAGCCTGAATAGTTTCATTTTTTTTTTTTTGTAATGGCTTAGGTTGTTCTTTCTGTTGATGCTGTTCATTTAAATGATTCTGATGCTTGTGCGTACAGTGTAAGTGCTAGGTTGCAAGATATTATTGTGTATGCATGTAATAGCAATACGCAATTCAATACAAGTTATAACATAGCTAGAAAATTCGCCTAATCAAATTCAATAGCGCGAGCGTGCTTCATATTCCTATTGAGCACGCTGATGACGTCAATAAACTATTCGTAATTCCTCGAGTTGTTGTGAGCTTAGCAATCCTGAGTCTCCTGAGTGAATCCATAACTCAGCAATAGACAATGAAGCGTTTACCATGTGTTTTGTAAAGAAATTTAAGAGGAAACGTTTGAATTTGTTAACCGATAGTAAGGAAAAGAGGTGAGTGTTGTTGTTGTTGTTGTCATCTCCGCGAGCTGTGCGGGCTATGGCGTGAGCTCATTCTTTGCAAAGTTGTTTTCTCTCAATAACAATTTTTCGGAAATTAATAGTTTTCCGACACCTAAATATGGATTTTACAATCATTTTAGAGTACACTTTCTCTCAGTTTCAGGATAAAAACATAAGATTAACTGTGAGGAAAAAAAGATATATTCACGTAAACATTGACGCGTACTGCTTTGAGCGCGCCCTTCAATAATAAAATTTTCAGTTAACTGCTGCATTGATCGCTTTGATAATGTTATAAAACAATTAGTTCATGCTGCAGCTGTGCGTATGTTGAGATATTGAGCACTTGGGAAGTTTGGAGAGCACTCAAGAGGCTAGAGTTGCACTCGGCTGCGCCTCGTGCAACTCTTACGCCTCTTTCGTGCTCTCCAAACTTCCCGCGTGCTCAATATCTCGACATACGCACGCTGACGCATGAACTAATTGTTAATTGGAGGAAATCATCTTAATGTTGATCATTAATAATATGGTGTTGTTTCTTTTAGCATCAAGATGGAAGTTGGAATTGAAGATTGTTTGCATATAGAATTTGAGTACAACAAGTCAAAGTAAGATCAAGTAACAACTGATGTTTATACAGCTGGCATGTGATGGCTGTTTCTTGGTTTTGCTCGCTGCATTGAAGACACTATTGCTTTTACTAATTGTTCTTGTCAAACGCTGTACACTGTACCACCAATGAAAGCACCAAACGTTGCTGGTACTTGGTACATGTATTTTCTCAGATTAAAGTTATTTTCCCACTGTGGAAGCATAGACTGTAAATTAATGAGTGATTGGCACCTTGACCTGAACAGAAGCATTGACACTTGCAGTATATTGACAAAATTTTTTCAGAGGTCTCTGAAATGCCTTTTGCTCAGTGTTAGTGTTGTGTTTTCATATCAACATTTGCTTGCAATATTACTTCAGATGCTGCAGCCTATTTTTGTAGTTCTTGAATTTTGTTTGAACTTTAAGTTGAAATATTCCCCACAATTGCATCCCTTTACTTTCACACATATTTAGCAGGTTCTCTACAGACCATTTTAACAATGTGTCATGTTTAGCGTTAAAAAAGACTTTACGTCAATAATGCTTGCCCATCTAAGTTCTAATTTAAGTGAATTTTTATCCAGATATCACTTGAAGGATGTAATTGTGGGTAAGATTTATTTTCTTCTTGTGCGGATCAAGATAAAACACATGGAGTTAGCAATTATCAAAAGGGAAACAACTGGCACAGGTAGGTCTTTTATTGTTATTTATTATGATCTAGATCCTTTTGCTTACTTTAATAGTATAGCTAATACTGCAGTTGGAAGTCAAGTTGTACAATATACAGTAGGTGTACCAGCTTATTGTAACAGAAAATGAAAAATTGACAGGAGTCATCTCTTCTGTTGATGTACAATGTATGAATCTTAGCAGCTATGCTCCATCATCTTTGTTACTAGCCCTTTCAGAGTGCGAAGAAAGTAGTGTCCGATAACCTGGGGCTAGTGGATTTTGCTATCGGGCTAGTAAATCCTGTTCTTAACTTGCCCGACAGGCAAGTGAAGTTTTTTGCGAATTCAAATTACAGAAGAACTGTGAAATCCATCTGCTCATCAAAACGTTTTTGTGGCTAGTTGAAATGATGTTTGGGCTAGTAAATGTTAGCTTCAGCTTGCCCAAATGGCAAGCTGTAAAAATGACTTTCTTTGCACCATGCCTTTTCCCTAGAGTGATTATCGTTATATAGTTCTTCAGCTACTTATCCATATGTCACAGGTCAAAATTAAATTTGGGTTAAAATTTTTTAACCTAGGTTGATTCTCTGTTTCCTTTGTCTCCTAGCCCTAATTCATGAATAGTTAGGGCTAGGAGACAAGAGAAATTGAGAATCAACCCAGGTGAAAAAAATTTCTCCTTAATTTCATTTTGATCTGTAACAAATAATTATATCAGACAATAATGACTACGATAATATTTATTAGATAACATTCAGTAGTGAATGTCTGTAAAATACTGGTTTATTTCCAGACAGCTTGATCATGTAAAGAAGTTGTTAAACTTATGAAACTGTCATGTTCAAATATTGGTCATAGTGATTCATTCTTTTATTCATTAATTTGTGTTTTCTTTAGGACCCAATACTTACAATGAAAATGAAACAATTGCCAAATATGAAATCATGGATGGAGCACCAGTCAGAGGTATTGCCCCTGAATCATTTCTCAGGCTTCTCATAACCCCTCACACCCTACAGTAGCTGTGATCAACAGTAATTATAAATGAGATTTTCCTAATGCTGTAGTGCTGTTACTTATATTGCTACAAATGGAGATTTGGTAACTAATTTATTTTCACCCTTTCCTTATATTAGCTGGACAGGCTCCAAACTAATCTCTTATTAAAGGGTTAAGAATAATAGCCACATTTTCAAAACAACTTTCTTTAATTTACCAGACTTGTTTCAACAGTAAATGTATCCGTCACCTTCAGTGTTATGATTATTGTGATATTGCTCTTGAATTTAATTCGTGTGCGATGTTACAAAGTTCATTGCATGCTTCAAAGTTTCAATTAGTGATGTCAAGGGACTTAAAGGGAGGGAGTCAGGTTCATGTGTTTCACCTGCCGGTTGAGGTCGGTTTTCTCCCATTTTACGATGTGGATTCCCTAAGCTTAACTCAATACTTAGTAGCTGCAGAGTCAAAGATCTTGAAGCAGTCCAGCATGCAGGATGTTCAACAAAACTCTGAACTCTGTTGATATCTAAAACAATCTGTCGGAAAGTTAGTGTTTGCATGTTAGTGTGGAGAAATGTCAGCTGGTTTCACCAGCATGACAAGCATTACACCTTGCACCCGAAAATTTATATACTACACGTGGGAAGCCCTACAGCGACAGCACCTTACATTTTAATTCAAGAACACCTACCTTACTCCTGAAGAAGTGGTGTAATATGGTCAAGAAAACATGTATTACACAGCTGTAGTAATAATTCGTGCTGCAAAATTAAATAATTCTGGATTTTTTGCAGCTTTGAGATATTAATTTTCCCAGAATTTATGTGCTAGACCATACTGTAGAACAATAGTATAATCTTCAAAATACCAAATGAACATATTTAGAACCTTCTCCATTGTCCTGGTGTTGTGAAGATGTCTCACCCCATTTATCTGACATAAACTACCAACTGAAGTAAACATGATGAAACAGTTTTTGTAATTTTATGCTCATCAAAGCTAAGGGTGGACTCTACTTGAAGTCTCAGATCTCATGGTACATGTAAATGGCCCTACATGTACAATGCTAAAAAGACAGTCAAATTCACTCTCTGTTTTTGCGAAATATGAAGTAGCTAGTAACAACAATCTAGCAGTTTAGCAGAAGTCACTTTAGGGTTTTTTTAGCCCCAATTTTGGCAATGAAGTGTGTTTCTTTTCTAGCAGCTACATTAATTTTATTTTATATATTTTTTTTGTTTTAGGAGAATCTATACCTATCAGACTTTTCCTCGCTGGTTATGAACTGACACCAACTTTTAAAGATGTCAACAAAAAGTTTTCTGTGAGGTACTTCTTAAATCTTGTGCTAGTTGATGAAGAAGAAAGAAGATACTTCAAGCAGCAGGTATGCCACTTTTATTATAATTCAAAGAGGACAGACCGCAAGTTACTGTTAAATAATGTCCTCCACTCTAAAGCTGTGGCTTTATTTGTCATGTCCATTGTGTTACATAAATTGTAATCGTATTTCAGCATAACCAGCTTCTAGTGTAGTTATAGGCACTGGAGTGTATTTTCTACTGTGGCATTCCAGGGTTCGCACAGTCCTTGAAAAGTCCTTGAATTTTAGGGGGAGTCCTTGAAAAGTCCTTGAATGTTATTTTTTCTTGAAAATTCCTTAAATTTCTGTGCAAGTCCTTGAAAAGTCCTTGAAGTTTCTTTTGTATTATCTCTTATATTTGTTCTTTTATGCAAGAATTAACCATTGATCGATTTAATCAAGTGAACTGAAAAATGTAGGGAAGTTGGTGAAGCAAGCAGTTCAACCTGTAAACGTCCTACAGGGTGAAAAGAAAATCACTTTTACAGCTTGCCATTTGGGCAAGCTGAAGCAGCATTTACCAGCCCAGACATCATTTTAACTAGCCCCAAAAATTTTTTGACCAGCAGAATTGATTTCACAGTTCCTCTGTTGTTGGAATTCCTCAAAAAACATCACTTGCCCATTGGGCAAGTTAAAAACAGAATTGACTAGCCTAATGGCAAAATCCACTAGTCCCACGCTATCAGACACTACTTTCTTTGCATGCTGTCCTATTAGAATGGACTGGGAATGTGCCTTTTTGTACAATCTGTGATATTACATTCCTGGTAGGTGAACCTTGAAAATTGAATGCAGCCCTTGAAAAATCCTTTAAAAATGGTTGTAAATTTTTGTATGAACCCTGTATTCCTGAAAAATATTGGAATCTCTTTCTCCCTATTTAGTAGTTAGAAACCCTGTAAGTAGCATTTAATAATTATTTCTCTATCAATACATAATCACAAACAGTACATTTATCTCCGGTTAACATGTTAACCGGTTTATGAAATAAATAATGAATGGTTGCATGCAGTGACATACAGTACAATACAAACACTGCTTTCTTGACGTAAAAGAACCCTGTTTTGGTCGAAAAGATGTATAGAGGGGATGACTGTGTTACTAGCCAGTGTCACAGACATAATTTTATCTCGGTTAGCAACGTCTGCAAAGCAGTGCCGAGATCCTTGTTCTGGACCCCAACGGACTCAACAAATTACCGGAAGTGCGTTTCAAATTTACTTTCATCCTGATTGGCAAATCGGCAATGTCTTTTTTGACAGGCCAATCATGGCAAGTAATCAAATCCTGGTACACAGATGGGGCCCCAGAATAAGGATTTTGGTGCTGTTTTGCAGACAGACTTAACCGGAGTTTGGTTTTTTCTGTGGTGCAGGCTACTGCTTTACAGGAGTGAATGGATATCGGTATAAAGAAAAGTTGGTCATGCATAAAAATTAATTTATTTTTATTTGAATTTTAAGTTTCTTCCATTCGCCTACAGGTCCACAGGTACGATTAAATATAAATACAAGTGGCATATAGATAACATAGGTAGGGAATCCTCTAGTGGCCTAGGGTGTTTAAGATAAGGGGCCAATGAAAGAGGTATTTAATTACAATGTAGTAGGGCATACACACAGTATTAACATCATCCATCTCTGTTTGTCTCTTAAAGGAAATAGTTTTGTGGAGAAAAGGAGACATAAAGAAAAAATCAGGGATCCTAACAGAGAAGCTAAAGCACTCAAGAGATGAAAACAAGCCAGCAGAGAATGAAGAGTAAAATAGAACTTTTTTGATTAGAAAATAAACAAAAAGTAGAAGAGTAATAAGAGCTATAAGTTTAAGAACAGGATTGGGGCTGTTTAACCCCCTCACTTCTTAATAGTGGTCCAAAAAATTCACACAAAAACTCAAATTTTTACTTGTAAATTCCTGAGAAATGAAAAGAGTCTTACAGAAAAGTTCTGCCATATAGTATAGGTTTCATGTGCATGGTGACATCACAGAATTTCATCCCCAGATAGAAAAGTTAAAGTAACAAATAGTCTCACCATAACATACATGTCACTGTACGTTTAGACTAGGAGTGAAAGGGGTTTTTTTATAATGGCATGGCTTCACTTCCACTGCTTATGTGTCTTTCAAAACTCACCACCGTAACTTTATGGGTTTTGCAACAAGTGATTGCATTGTATTTCTTGTGGCTCTCAATCAGATCATTGAGGGCATGAAGTCACAGTCTGTATGATTTTGAAAGAAACATTATGGTGCAGCCATCATGATCAAAATGAATTACAAGCTTGTTAGTGAGTGAAGCACCCTGCTAGCAGAGTCTTTCTATTGCTTGCTCAAAATGAGGCTCTGCTTTATGGGTGTGAGTACAGTGAATAGTGAGTGAAAAGTTATTGATTTTGTAAAGGGGAATTCAGTTTCTTAATCTGTAAATGTCTGCCACTAAGTAGTGTCTCGTTAGATAATAAGCTTGCCGATTTTGAAACAACTAGTATCCATAACTACTGTTGTTGTGGTCCTTCAAACCTGTTTTATGTTTCTCTGCAGTCTCGATAGGGACCTTGAACTATTAATATTATAAAATCGAAATATACATTTGTATACATGTATGTAATGGTTGTGTATTTTTTCAACCTCCCAAAATAATATCCTAGGAATGGGTAACAGGTGGATTTAGAGACTACTATAGAAATTGGAGAGGGAAAGGCCGGTCCCTCATCCACTGCTCGTGGGTGAAAGACACCCACAAGTGAAATGCTCAAGATACTGAGGAGTTACCAATGGCGGATCCAGGCCTTCAGATAAGGGGGGGAGGAGTGGAGGGAGCCGATCATCCAGACTGTAAGATAAGCAGGGGAGGCGGCCTCAAAAAATAATTTTTTTTTGGCCCTTTGGGCCTCATTTTGGTCTAAACATAAGCGGAGGGTGGGGGGGCTCGGGCCCCCCAGGCCCCTGCCCTGGATCCGCCACTGGTTACGTAAGCTGCATTACCTGAAGTTCCTTCAAGGAACAACTGAAATGGTTATCTTTTAGTTGAGGTTACTTAGAGGAATCAACATTTTCATCATTGTTACTGTTCATAAGAAATGAAATCACATGAGATTGTATTATTAAACAATGAAGAAATTCATTTTTTCATGGAACTTGTAATGGTTTCCAAGTAAATTTGAAAACTACATGTATGTCAGTAAGTTCAACACACAGTTAAAGCCAAGTTAATCTCTATCTCCCCTGCGGAATTAAATTCAGGTTGGTCATGTTTTCTCAAGGCTTCTCAGCATCTCATGGATGCTAGTCATAATAAATGTCAAAAGAAGACTAAACTTGTTTTATAGAAAGCACATGTTTGGCCACATGAAAGACTGTTGATCCCATTAACATTGTGTGCCGAAAACTAAAAGATTTTTGTAGTGGTGTTCTTCTTCAATGCCTTTCTCATTTTCCTTTCTGATATCAGACGATTCTTGTTTTCCTTTTCCTTTCTTCTCCTCTCTACATTTAATTTTCCTTTAAAAGGTTGAACCAAGACCTTTTAGTCCATTTTTTTTTCGACCTGTAATTTCCAGTTGCCTCAATTCTATTATTATAATTTATTTCAATAATCATCTCTCTTCTCATCTACTTTTGCTGGAATGAAAATGGAATTAGTCAGACTTGCATGTATCTATTCAATTCCTTTTCGCTCTCCTCAACTGCAATCTTCAACTTTACTCAGTCCCTTCTACGTGCCTTGGCGTTAATCTTATTACATGATTTGACCACCCCTCTATTTTCATCTGCTCTAGACCCTACTCTAATTTCTGGAATGGGAATTAGCTTAATGTTAACTCGACTCTTTACCCTACCATAGGCTTATATTGTCAATCATCTCTTTTCTCCTCTACATTACTCTGCTCATTGGTTGTATTACTGACAGACCTCATGATCCATATTTTTCCCCTCGCCTCAACTGCAATCTCCCGTTATCAATTGTCTTCCCATAATAATATTACCTGCTCCACTTTACTCAAATAAAAAAGCTTTAACTCACACCTGCTACTGGTGGATCCAGTTCCTGTAATTTCGACTTGCCTCGACTTTTATCTTCTTTTACATAAATCTCTTCTCTTGTACTCTACTCTATTTACTCGGATAGGAATATTATTCTAACACACTGTTAAATCTACTCTAGTCTTATCATAGTATTTATTAGCCTGCGAGAGCATCCCGTTTTCTCGGCTCTAATTTCTAGTTTCACCCGCCGAGAATTCAGAAGCATAGAAGGGAAAGACAAATTATCGACAGATCCTTTGACGGCAATTTTGGCGAGTTTAGACTATATTTATGGGATTTATGGAGCTTCGAGCTGTAATGGTCGGCTGCAGAATTCTCAGCCTTCCCATTTTTCTTATTGTTAGTACAACTCAAAATCTTAAACGTCGACAAAACGGCTTCCAAATGGCTCTAGAGGCGAAGAGACAGTAAAAAAACAAAACAAAACCACAAGGTAAGTCATTTTTATCTCCATTTTTTGTCAAAAAAAAGGACGTATTTTGTTTATTCTCATGCATTCACTTCTAAAATTCAAAGTCCAACGAACTCCCACAGAGTTGGATGGCCTGTGGTTATTTGCTTGCAGATAACTATTCTCGTTTCCAGCTCTTCGATCCTTTTGGTCAGTGTCGGGATCGATCCCCGACGCTGACCAAAAGGATCGAAAGCTCTGGGAACGAGAATGGCAGCAGCTGCAGCAGATAACTGACTATTTTGCCTCCGCTACACAACCGAACAAACAAAACAACGCTAGGAGGCATGAGCGCGTCGGTCAGCCAGGCCCATGATACACTTTATTAACAAACGTGAAAAACTCCACTGTTACAACGTAAAATGCTTTATAGCATCTGCTCAACATGTCGGAACATTTCGGATCAGTGACCCGTAAAAAATCCTCTGACTTTCAAGGTGGAATTCGATTTCAATCGAGTTATACAATCAGATGGGAACTTGAAGATAAAACCTTTCTCAAAATAGACATTATTAACTTCATACCCTTTTCCAACAGGGTGACTTTCAGAAAGCCTTGAGGGAGGGACTTGGTAACCGCTTCTGAATTGATACCAGGTTTCTGTCGGTCAAAGTCAAATGTCCCGACCCCGGGGTCGCTTCACACGATCAAAAGCCCGACAGGGGGATAGTCTCAGGCATCAAATCCCCGCCCCTTGCCCGCACTCCCCCCTCACGGGATTTACATTGATAGGTGCATAAGTTGACGCGGCGAGGCCGACCGTAGAATGACACCGGCATAAAACTGAAGCCGATGAGTTCTTTTTTTTAATTACTTGGAACATAAACCGGCGTAAAGCAGACTCTACATACGTACAAAAAACATGACAAGTAAGAGTTTAAAAACAGTCTACGAACAATTTGAATACATGACAAACATGGAATGATATTTAATTAATGGCTCAAAATTTTTAATAAGTCGTCACCAACATAGGTTCAGTGTCATACATGTTAGGCATCTGTTCCGTACCATTTCTTTTTCAGAAAAACCGCTTACCAAAAATACATTTTAAAAAACCTTTCCCAAAATTGTGAATCTCGAAAATCTGGATTTGGATTTGATCCGAAGAATCCACCCTTAGTGTGGATTTTATGAATTCATGATCCGTTTTTGGATTCGGAAATCCGGATTTGGATTTTCCCAAACAAATACACCCTTTAGTGTATAATGTAAGGCAACATTTATGACGTAATGCAGGACAGAGAATGCATTGTTTTCGAGCGAACCATCGATCACACAGATAAGAGAATCCACGAGCTGTGTGCGTGTTTGTGAGTCCCGTGCTCATCCCGTCTTCAACCAATCGTCGGGTGGATTCATTTGCATCATGCGCGAATAGCATTTGCATTCATTTGCCCGCTGGAATTTATTTACTGCCTACCGCTCGTTGGCACTTAGCGATAGCTATAACTAGTCATAAGAAGCTAAATTCAAAAAATGATAGAAGTTTTTCATATTTGCCGTTGATTTTTGGGTACTTAGTACTTGGAAAAGATACGAAAAACGCAGCTGGCAACGTCAACATGAAAAAAAATCTTTTTTACTACTATTGACCCATAGTGGTGGAGCGCGTAATAAATGTATATGCCCCCTGTATTGATATAACTTGCGCTGCAGTAAGCATTAAATACGATAATGTTGTTTTTATAAAAGCGGAAACAATAAGACGATAACAGTACAGATCGCACGACAGAATTACAGTTTTGTTCGTGTCAATAAGTTTAATTGAATTTTATTTACAGAAATAAATATACAAAAATCGATTACACTACGCACAGATCAGAATTTGTACAAATCTTACATCATAACAAGTATGCGCAGAGTAATATTGTCGCCCACGGACTTATTTCAGTTTGATTCGAAGGACTGCCTGCATTTAGTACTTGTTCGATGTCAAATCGCACAGCATAATTACTTGTACTTTTGCGTGTCAAAAAAAAAATTATTATTTAAGGTGATAACAAAAATTTGTAATCATTCAAACGTTTATGTACGCCGTAGTTTAGTCGCTTGGACTTGCGTCAGATCCAAGGCTCATGCAACGAAGGGATTGTCAGGATTTTGTACTAGTTTTAAGACAACTGGACTTTTATTCTTCATCCCAGGCAATGACGATTCCAGAGAGAGATGCGTCCCGCTAGGAATTGTACTTTCCGATTGCAATCCACGTAGTGGCAGTTCCGGCCGGCACTCCTTACGGGAAAAATACCACTAGGATTACTGGA